ATACAAAACATGTGTAAGGCCACCACTAGAATACTGTCCATTTATTATTAACAGCACTCGCACATGTGACAAGCTAAGGATGGAAAGTATCCAACGATACTTCACCTCCAAACTATTTGGCTACGATTGTGAGAAAGACTACCTCTCACGGTTCATGATTCTAAATCTTGACCCACTTTGGACAAGACGACTTATTATAAACCCAGTATTCTTTTTTATGGTCCTACACAAAATATCATTCTCAGACAATAAGGACCTACAGTTCTCGCCGGAAAGCTCTTACGATCTGCCTAACCAAACTTGCACAGTGACAATAAAAGCCCTTAAACCAACAGTTCACGAAAAATTCTCCACAGTCATCTATTCTAAAATATGGAACAGCCTGTCCCTGGAAGTCAGGACTCGCACCTTGGTCATAAGTTTCAAACGCTGACTGTACAGACTGTCTCACTCTAATGATTACATTAACAAACTATTTATTTCTAGTACGAATAAATTTCTGAAATACTCTGGTACCCAAAGCTAGCGTAAAACTTCCCTAGTTACTCCATAAACAGTAAAGCGACTAATCTCATAGATGCATTAAAAGACTAAATACAAATAAATATATATGTTCACTAGGCGGCAATGTACAATGAATATAGAGGAAGTAGAGTACTTGTGCAAGGATTACAACAAGATAAATTTTATGTAACGAATCACGCAAAAATGTAACGCAAACGTTGAACGTACCGCTATATATTTTATATTTTTGATTACAGCTTGATGCCACACTGTATTTTCAGTACAAGTATTGGATTTTCAGCATGGATATCGGTAGCCCAAATTTTGCAGGCCGACCATAGATATCGGGTGTGTCGGCGGGGAATCGAACACCGGACCATGTGCATGGTCGGCGAGAGTCCTAACCACTGTGCCACCGACGCACATACATATATACATATATATACAAATATGAAGGTTCTGTCCGTGTCCACATGTATTTTATTCCCTTTATGGTACTTCGCTGCTCGTCTCTCCTCCTGTATTTCCTTTGTGGTTGAATTTCCACAGATCTACTTTAAGACTGAAACTGACCGGGATTTGAAGCCACTTATATATACCATATCACCATACAAGATTTTGGCTATTAATAACTCGACATCCCTGAAAAATCTACTGTCACCATATCGGGACACTATATTACATACTATACAAGCAGTGTCCATGATCTGAAATGGTTTACAATAGCTTTCTACATGTTAATCACCTAACTCGTACAGAACAACCATGCGGCGACAAATGGCGGCTGACCTGGGTGCGGTAAAACGAATCTGCCTGACAATGACCAATATTAGTCTGCATTGAGTACAATTTACTTCTGGTTTTACTTATGATGAAAATGCTGACAAAATTATACAAACGTGTCCCTTATTTTGAATTAATACCCAATGCGGATGTGAATCAAGAATAAGATCCGATGCCGTATACACCAAAGTTATATGGGGTGAATGACTTCAAGCCTTATTCTTACCGACAGAACACACCACGTTACAGTCTATTCCTCTAATCCTGTCAACCAATGTGACGCCAGTGAAGACTAGAGACGTAACAGCACTGGCTTTAAGAAAATCCACTTCAAGTGTTTCATAAAATTATGTACGCTCCGCAATTGTAGGCAAACTAAAAAACATACGAAGTCATTACATATATATATATATATATACGAACAATAATTGAGCGCACAGCGGACAGCCGATTGAAAGAAATGTCTTTTCGAAATGGCCCGTTATTCACGAGAAGTAACACATGCCTACATCTCTTCAGGTGCGTCTGCGTAAAGTATGGCATATATCCAGCCTTTCGTCTACATGACTCAAATGAACACTTACATAACTCACGAGTGCTCAGTTCATGAATTCTACTTGTACCAGCAGGAAGTTTACAGCAAAAAGAATACCCTGCCGAAATGTGGTGTTACACAGATGCTTTTGTCTGGATCTGTCAATACCAAGTATTGTGCCCTGTGAAAAATCAGTGGATAAAACCCTGCAGAGACATATTGCAGCTTCTCTAACGATTGAACGAAAGCATCTCACTTATGCAAGATGTATTCAGTAATGAACGCACTGTTAATTCACCGCGCTCAGATCTACATTACCTTAAGAGTTTTCTTGTTTGAATATGAAATATATATATTTATATTGTGTCAGTAGCTGCAAATACACCTAAATATCTAAGCCACATAAGCCTTCTATTTCACTACCTCATATTTGGTAATGCAGTGAAAAGTATTTCATGGACCACGAGTAGCACTTCGCAATAGGCAGAAGTGTCGGCATTTAGTGGAAGTATTTTCGGGAATTAATACGACGAGGTTAGCCTTTTTCTAATACATACGCACCTGTCATCGCAATGAAAAGATAATGACGAATTGTTATCACAAGCATTGTATTTACTGTGTAGAGAATGTTATTACAGGCAAACTTCACAGTAACATGTACAAGTCTTGCATGTCATTGCATCAGTAATATAAGCATACTAATTGTACTGCTGCCGGATGTGTATAATCTCAGGGCTTCGTAACAACAGCTTTGTGGGAGGTAGATGTACCGAAAGACTGTTTGCAGACACTATGTATGACAAAATCAAGTAGAATGTCCACAAAGACTGATAACCTGCAATGAGGAAGACGAAAATGAAATAAATAGGAGACACTTAATGCATAAGATAAGTATTTCATATAAGCATACTACGGGTATGAGAAAATCACCCATCTCATTCACTCCTATTCACACTTTTTCTTATGTCCGTGTTACTGATTTCGGGTTCATGGTTTCTTTTTTGGTGCAGTTTAGCTGGGAAATTTAAGGAATTGAGAAAATGCATTAATAATCGTTTCAAACAATTAACATTGTAGTGAGTTCTTACACTAGGCAGCTACAGTGACAGATGCTGACTGAGCGAATTTTAACACAGAACTCAGCACAGAAGCGCAGCATTTCGAGTTGTTACATTCAACACTTGAAAATGTTATTTTTAGTTGGTAATAAGCAAAACATTTGATCAGATATGTTTCGACTTAGTATTTAGGCTATGGGATAAAATAAACTAACTCATGAGATACGACGAGAGAAAATACTGTGAAACTTACCTCGGGTGAGAGGAGGAATTAGTGTAAGATAACTCTTTTTTTCATTTAGACAAGAACTAGATGAAAAATGCGGATGTCCTATGTTGACATTTCAGTAATTATTATTCACTTTTTAACATTTCATTATACCTAGACTATATGTCATTCTGACTGACTGACTTTCAACATAGTAGTTTGTAAACAAATGCATCTGTTTAAGTTATCACATTCCATGTAGCACACAAATATAGGGAAAAAAGAAATCAAATGAAACTCTAATGAGCATAAAGTGAGGTAGAACGAACAGTGACAAGGAAAAAACATAAGGGTTGGTTAGCTACATGAAACTACACAGAGTGAATGCATCTGTGCCATTAAAAACGATTTGGACTCACATCTTCACCTGACACTATACGCCTTACCCCAATATTACTCACCATATTATACTACTTAACACATTGGAAAGGGCACAGATACCTACGATCAAACACCAGAAGTCTTTACATATCTCCAAGCTTCATTGGTCACAATCTAGGTGGACAGTATCATCAGCATATTCTAAGTTGACGAGACTGTTCCCGGACAAGTCCCTGAACTAACTGACAGACAATTCTATTAATACATGTGTGATGAAATTGAACCAAAATAAGGACGAGTTGTAGAAATGAGCCTTGTATTACATCCCTCTTGGAAATATGGGTCCTGTGATAGTTTAGTTTCAACATTAAGTGGATAGAATGCAATCTGTAGAATTCATCAAATTTATAAACTGGCTTACTACTTTTACAAAAAACCTAATTAATGTCGCCTCAGTAAAGTGAGAAATGGGTGTTGTAGTTGTGTACACTTAGCAGATTGTGAACTGCTGGCAATATGAATGACAACAATTCTTGGAATTACGAGTTATAATTTTACCTCGATCGCAACATTCAGCAGTTAATAAATGACCACTTAAAGAACGTCAAATCTATACGGGAAGTGCACAAGATTTAGCAAAACATATACACTTTTTATTTCAATTTGTAGTTTCTATGCCAAGTGTATTACTGTTAGGGCCTGCACAGTTAACAAATTAACTCATAACACTAAAGTGGAGAAACTTCTATCCATCCCCACGGAACCTCATATAGAGAGCCCTGTTTAGTAATTCCTGTGTTATTAACTATGTTACGCTGAAGAGAGGGGCAAGGCATTCATAATCTGCTGCTTCATCTGGGATTACAATACAACTCGATGTGCAATAGTATTTATACGAATAAGCTGAGAAATAAAGTCTTCCTTATCTTCTGAACAAATTATCTTTATTCCAACTAAAATAATAACATTCTTTCACGTATGAACCTAAGTTGTGTTTGTAAAATCAGAATCATAAAGCAATTTAAATTGCTTTTATCGAGAGAAGTCACATCGGCTGACTTGTTTCCTGAAGGCTTTCACCAGTCCTTGTCATTTCGCCTATCCGATCCTAGCGAAGGATAATTTTTCCTTTCTTTTTTGTATTTTTATTGTTTTCATTGTGCGTTGAAGTTTCTGTATCAGTTTTCAACCGGTTTTATGGTGTAGGGTCGCTAGTCCCACGCCCAACCCTCCCTGGTTACCCGGGCTTGGGACAGGCTAGAAAACTAGGAGAGCTAAGTGTGTGAATTTAGATGCTTTTAAATTTTGGTAGATTCCATAGTCAACAAGAAGTAACCCAGTTTTTTCAATATAACTGGATATGTTTAGCTTTGATTACACTTTTACTACTCTAATGTTAAATCAACTCATCACCTTCTGATCATTCTGACCAATCACGACCTAGGCTTTGTGGTTACTGATATCGTACGGTCATTTTTTGAAGGTTGTCTTGTCTGGATTATTTCAGGTTTAGTAGTGGGTGTTTATTTAGCTTTGTTACAAGTTAATTGTAAGTTTCATTTGATCTGGTGTATATGCGTTAATGGGTGATTTTAATCTGTTTCAGAACTTTAAATCTATATATTTAGCTTTCTTGCGTGCATACACATTGGTGCATGCATCTTTGTGTCTATGCTTAGCGTATATCATATATTGATAACGAAATGTATTTTGTTGCAGTATTTCAGCACTTGGAAATACAGACTTCTAAACTAATCTTAACAGAAATCTGCAAATGATCAAATACTTTGTACAACGTTGTATTCTGTTGTGATACTCATAGGTGTTTAGGTGCAGTCACAAATATTAACATCCTTGCTGGATCGTTGGACATGTTAGTTTTGTTCCAACAGCTATTGTTAAAACGATCTTGTCAAACTTCAGTCGAAGAAAAATAGGCTTAAAGTCCCTTAGTCCTATAATGTATCTGTGTAGAAATGAAATAATGCTGGCCCATGAAAATCATTAACTATATCATGTATGACTACTGGAATATTTGTTGTAAATTTCTTATGTAGCTTAAACTACCAAACAAACTGAAACATAGCATTTTTCTACCACTGGTTCTTTTTCCACTTCTAATTACGTTCAGCTTGATAGCTCATTAGTAATATATTTATTATGTCCAAGTTTGATCATTTCTTTTTAATATATTTCAGTGCGGTTTGACTCGACTCACTGGAAATGTAAATTTTCAAATGTGCAAGACCTGTACAGTTTATAATGTTGTTTTACTTGCTACTGCGTTATGATATTTAATGAGCTTTAATACACTTTGATGATGGGTTGATTATTTAGGTATGCTTGGAGGACATATAAATAGTCTTAAACCCAGGAACCTTTCCTTGTCCACACAATTAATCTTGTCTGCGTTTTTTATGGGAGATTCTTTTCGTAAAAATGTAGTCGCTGAAGTGACTTTATGGACCCACAAATTTTAAACTACGAATGATTGTTTTCTGGCTAATGAAGATAAGTAACTTTGTAAACCAATTGGCACTGATACTACCAGATGCCATGGAAGGCCTAATTTACTAATGAGTAGTTTGAAAGTAAGTGCTGCATAATTAACCACTAATGAGATAAATTTCATGGAGTTCTGAGAATTTATGACTTTTCAAGTTCATTAACTCATTTGTAGAAACATTTAACTACCTGTTACGCTGTGAAGCAGTGATCCTACATAACGAGTTTATAGAATTAAAACCATTGAATTCGCACTGAATGGCTAGATATTAACTTCCTTTTCCATTTCTCTATCTCTCATAAAGTAGTATGTACACTCTGATGGGGAACCTCAGAGAAAGAAAAAACAAATCCAGTTCTTTTTCTTTTTTGTAGTAGTAGTGATTTCATTTAATGGCGGTTTCTGATAAGATCAACTCTGATAAAGGTTATTTTGAAGGGTGAAGATTTATAATTGATTGTATGTGAATTTTAATCTGAGTGGTCACACAGTAAAATCAATCCGATTGCTAGGAATTTATTACTGTTTGACAGATTCAACAACTTAGTGCGTCGCACAAAAGTGTGTAAGTTAAGTCTCCCACGCTTCCAGAATGTGTGCATAAAAATAAGAGAACGAAATGTAGTGAACCTACAGTGACCGGAGATATCTTGGCCAGTATCTCTAAAATGACAAGCACTCATTACACTAGCATCCATATAGACAGTTCCAGGTGGTGTTGCAAAGCACCATAATCAGTTATTCTTGATAACTCAAGGACCCCAACCAGTCAGTTGGCAGAGTTGTGTAGTTTTTATTTGCCTATTTTTGGTTTCTAGTGTATTGACTCCCGATTTTCCTTTTAATCAAAACTTACGTAAGGCTGAAGTCTACCATACTACACTGCTCATTATGTTTGTATATGCACAACCAAGTTTCAAAGTATCCGTTGAGGTTGCATCCAGGTCCTGTTATCCATCATACTTTATTTTTATGTCATTCGTTATTATGACCATTTTTCAGGTTACTTTCAAAAGCTGAATTTAATTAGCCTGATTTAAAGACAGGTCTAATTTGTCTCTAAATAGTGGATATAGAGAGAAGTGACGCAGTAAATGCATACAGAAATATTCTTCTTTAATACTTATCCAATTCCATAGGTCCACACAGTAAACATTTAGTTTTTATGAATTAAGGGATTACTTACTCAGGGTTTTAATTTTTCATTGTACTAATATAACAACAGTAGATGGTTTATGATAAGATTCACAGATTCCTTTTAACACTATTAATTGAATCTTTACACTAATATGTTTAATTTTAGATAATGACCAGTAGTGGGGAAGGCGAAGAAAGTATTCCTACAGATTCTAATAATGATGGTCAGATTACTGAAATCAATTACAAAGCTATGGTTGTATCTACAAATCCTATGAGAACTAGCGAAGAAGGTAGGTGTGAAACAGTCTTTCATTTCCCCATCATTTTAATCAGCATTTAATTAAATTTTTCTAAAGTATAACTGGTTTTAGTTTTTTTCTCGACATTAGTAGTGGCAATACTGATTAACTCGGAGAGTTTTTATCTTTTAGTGACTAGTTTAGTTGTCATTATGTTTCATTTTAACTTGACAGTGGACTTAAGGACTGTATGTTTGTTTACTTGTATTAATATTGAATGCTATTACCACTGTTGGCTTGCTTTGGATTTGGTATCAAAATAAGTTGCAAATCCTAATTTCTAGTTGTCTCGTGTTTTATACCGCCTGACGAAATATTGTTCATTGTCGTGTTTAGGAGATATGAAATGAGGAGTTATTTAACGAATTAATAATCATATAACAGCCAGATACAAAATAGCTAACTAGTTGAAACCTTTATGAGAGGAAACACTTCCGCATAATTTAAGATAGAAATCAGTGATAAAAGTTCAGATATTGATTTTGTAATGATTATGATGTTTTAGATAACTGTATACCTACCTTTCAGAAAGTTTTCTTTGTATATGTATATTGCTATCGTTAAATTCATTAAAATAACACAAATAAACATATATAAATCTTCTTGGATCTGCGTTTCTTGAGACTTATTAGCTGGATGTGCCTACAGTCCCCAGTGAGTGATGTTGTTCTCACTGATACTTCAACTCATCGTTTCGAACTCCAAAGCGTTATCCACTAGACCACTTGAGAGATGACAGTCACCTTGTGTTCAACCAGTCAATGGGAAAAGTAAGATTAACTAAAACAGATGTATAAATCCTTACTTCCTTTCATTCATAATGTGGGATAACATGTTTGCAGTATACATAATGTCTCACATAGTGTGAAAATGTCTATAAAAGCAACGTCCAAGTTAGGCATTGTTTGTACATGGAAAAGTGAATGATGTGAATAATGTTTACCATAAGTAAACACTCAGTGCTGTATTTCACATCTATTTTTGTTCGTATGCTTCAGCTTCAACAAAATTGCTTTCTTTCTTGATGACACAGATGTATTACTTCCCTGCTGTTATTCAGATTCTAAACAATCTTCACTATCCTTTGACTTATTATTCGTTTTACCGTCCATTTTAGTTTCATTACATTTTCAAATGTCAGTTTGTAGGGATTTGATTGGTTTCAAGTTAGATAACGAATTGATATCAGTTTGGGAATTATTGAAAAACGAGGAAGTACTAGAAGTCTTTTTCGTCTTGGTTTGGGTCTCTTCAGTAGCACACCCTCACCATTCTACAGGGGATTGAATCCAAGACCTTCAAGTTATAAGGCAAGCTTGTTGATATCATTCGGCCATTGGGAAGGAATCCAATGGCTGGCTGATGAATCCTAACTTCTATCAAGTGGCAAGTTTTAGCACCATTGCCAGTCAATGTCATCGGCGAGTATTATGCATCCATGATATTCCTTTCTTCCACTTTTATGAATGCTTTTCTGTAATGTGACAAATTGAAGTGCTTTTGTGTAAACGTTTTGCATTGATAGGCCAGTCAGTTAGTTATTGATTTCGATAATGTTCGTTGGTCATTTTAATTTTGTTAAGAAAAAGAATGGATAGACCATTCCATCAACAAGTTCACTATAGACAGAATCTTGATATCCATTTAATTGTACATGTGTTTCATCATTAACGAATTACTTGTCACTGTTTAGAGTTCTGCTTTCTACTTTCAGTTACGTTTGTATTAGAATGACTACTTTAGAAGTTAGTACTGTGCGTTGGTGGCACAGTGGTTAGGACTCTCGCCGACCATGCACATGGTCCGAGGTTCGATCCCCTGCCGACGCACACCCGATATCTATGGTCAGCCTGCAAAATTTGGGCTACCGATATCCATTCTGAAAATTCCACACTCATCCTGAAAATACGGTGTGGCATCAAGCTGTAACCAAAATAAAAAATAAATAAAAATAAAGTGATATGGTTTGATTCATATCAGGAAAAAACAGATTAAAATGGAGTTAAAATCTTAGAAAGCATCAACTTTTGGGTTGCAGATCAGGAATTAACTTGAGTTAAAGAACCATAGAAGAGTGGGGAGTACTGGACAGCTAAATCACCCTGTTTCGGGCTTTTCCAACAGTACACACTAGGGATCAGACCCAGAAACTTCAGATTGCGAAACCAACGTGTTGACTATTCAGGCGTTGGGATCGAATGCAGTGGCTCACGAATTATAACTTTCAGCAATTTGTAATATATAGCGCAACAACCTGCCAAAGTTGCTGGAGGGTACTTCTCCTTATACCTGACATGGTAAAAGAATGGCCTTGTAACCTGACGGTTGTGAGTTCAATTCCTGGTGGGTTCATTTGCGTGTAGTGATGAAAAGTGACAACCTGGGACGAAACGGCTGTCCAGTACTACCTAATTTCCAGTGGTTCTTTGACTGAAGTTTGCTACTGGTCAGACTTGAAATATCAACTACTCAATTTCGGAGGATTGGATCCCCTGTTGACACACAAGATGTTCAAGTAATATTCTCGGCGTTTAAATATCTCTTCACTAACATTGACAAAGGAAACCACATAGTATCACAAGCTCTCTAATATTTAACTGCTACCCACACTCCATAATAGGAGCTTTTTATTCCTTTGCGTTTCGAGTGGAGCGTAACGCTTTGACTTTCAGCTTTGAAGTTTCAGCACAATACGTGCTAAGGTTAAACGCTATTTCGCTAAGTCATATTTATCTGTACGTTGTCTTTGAACATGTGGAATAAATACGAATACTGAACAGTCAGTGTAGAATTTTACATAAAAATGCAGCACTTCAAGTGACTACACTCTGTGAAAGCACAAGTAAAGACAGAGGAAAAAAGAAAAACAAAGAGATCGTAATGAATGGAAATGTACCTTAGAAAGAATAATTACATGGCGATTAATAAGATTTTGATAAAGTGAATGCATCTGCACCATTGAGAGCAGAGTGAAGTTAAACTCTATGGCAGCTATTCCAGTATATGACTTTAGACAACCTATTACAGTTACAGGTTGTAAGACCGAAACAGATTATGCCTCCAGTTCCAAAAAGACTGGGTGGTTTTGATTACTTTGTGTGAATAATGGGTTAATGGGAGTTAATAAAACAACATGAATATATGGAGAAAGCTTGACCCAATAATTGGCTTTTTTTTGAAGGATTAAGATTTTGGAGTAGATTAAAGGACAGAATTAGAAATATACACGGATCTCTCAGAAAACTATGTGATACATATTAATCTTTTCTAACAGATGCTTCATACCTGGGAAGCATCGTTTCAACTACAGGCGGAACTGACGAGGATATCAAAGCAAGAACCGGAAAAGCAAGACAAGCTTTCACTACTCTTAAGTCTGTGTGGAGGTCAACAGCACTCAGCATCAAAAATAAGATCCGGATTTTCAACTCCAATGTGAAGTCAGTGCTACTCACCATACGGATCAGAGACTCGCACTGCGCGTCATAAAGAGCATCTCAAACAAACTACAGACCTTCATTAACAGTTGTCTTCGCTCAGTACTCAAGATCAGATGGTCGGCCAGAAAAGATCAGCAACAGGGATCTCTGGCAATGAGCGAACCAACACAGCAGGAACCGATTGTGAAACAAATAGGCAGAAGGAAATGGAGATGAATTGGCCATACTCTGAGGAAACCATCAAGTGACATCACTAGACAAGCCATTGCTCGAGTGGAACCCGAAAGGGAAGCAGCGAGTTGGTCGTCAGTGCGAAGGTGGGTGACTTGGAGGAGGTCATGTGAAGAGGAGATGAAAACGTGTGCGCCAACGTGGAGCCAGGTGAAGACTCTAGCAGAGAACCGAACGCAATGGAGACGCACGGCTGAAGCGCTATGTTCCTGTAGGAATTAAAGGAAATAATAATACCAGATTTCCCATTTTTGTTGCTCCTTAACTGTAATTACTTGTCCAGGGTTTGCGGTAGAATCTATCTGTGTGGTTGTAATAGTTTTACTTCACCGAGAACAGTTTTGAGCCATATCATCAACAGTCTCTAACCTTTGGTTCTTTACATTTCGAAAATCCAAACTAGGCAGTCTACACCTTCCTATGTGGCTGGCTCAAACCAACTAACAAAATCTTTGCGGATTGATGCCAGGTTTCAATTTGACTACCGCTAACTTTTTTCCAACCCAATCCTATATAGGCTAACAGAACTTAGCAATAAAGACGATAGCTTGTTCCACCGTATTTCTAAAGGTGTACCTGTTTTATTTTGTAAAAAAATGTCTGTTAAAATATCAGATCAAGTAGAACAGTGAGATAATCAGAAAAGGGAAAATGCTAGTCGCATATTAAAAACTCTCAATTCTGTTTTCCTGTCTACTCTAACCTTGTCAGACAATTATGTCATGTGACTAACATATTTGCATCCAGGCCACTTAAAAGTATGTTAAATGTAGTTTTTATTTTTAACAGACAAAATAGTCTTTACATAATAGTTTCTAGGTTGTTTGTCTGTCTGTCTATCAATGTCTATATGTCTAACAGACAAAGCAACATATATACTGATGTTCATCTAGTCTACGAAGCATTAGAAATAATGATTTATATCACGTGTCTCAATTCTTTGTATTATTAATTAATCGTCCAATCATAAATTAAAATAAAGGGAGAGTAGGCTAAAGTTTGTCGACCAATCACAACGTTCTTATATCCCATGGATTTATTAGTATTTTTACAATAGAAGCCTGGATTAAAACTCGATCTGATATATATCCATTGGAAGGAGATTTCTACTACTGGTAAGCTTCAACTCACATTTCCCAAACAATCGGGTTTGCGATTTTCCATGTGAAAGACAACGTATACTTAGGCTAGCCACCTCTTATTCTATTTAATAAATAAATAAATAAATAATAGTATATTCTCATTTTGTACATGAGGGACGCCAGTTTACAGGCATCATCAATATGATAAATTACATATACGATTAGTAAACATATTTATCAATTCAACCTCTCCTGTAAAGCCAGTTATAGTGACCGTAGCTCTAGAAACTTTATGTTTCATGCTCAGTGGCTGAATAAACGTGTAGTTAAAATCATGAACAGTTTTGCATTAGCTTACTTCGTCCAAATAGCCTACAAAGTCAGCATTGGAGAGTCTTTCTCTGTCATCCATCGAGTACAGAATAAACTGTCGAAGGCCTCCAAATACCTAACACTCCAAACAGCAGTGTCCATTACAATTCGCCTAAGACAATATGAGCTTTGTGTGCAAAGGAAACAGCAGGTCCAGCCACTAATGCTACCCTGGACTACTGTTGAACCTACAAATTCATAAATTCCGTATTATTTTTTACTAATTTAACTGATATTCAGTTTGGTATTATACTGATGCATTTTATCACTTACAAAAACTTTTGAGGTGCAATCTACTGATATTATTGATTCAATGTAATTTAAAACCTTAATGATGTTAGTAACGATAATTCTTTGGCTATTGTGGTTATATAACCATAGAACGTGTCGAAGAAGTCATCAGAAAGAGAATTCTTTGTTCACTAATTAGTTTTTTAACATGGTAGATACCTTTGCTGTTAACATTTTATGGATCCAGGCATATTTAACTTCAACACTTTCTGTAAGGAGGATCGTTTAATTATGTTTTCATTATCTTTCTTCGTGAACTGATACACTTCGCTTAATTTATTTTTAATGTTTATAAATATTTTGTTTAATATCGGTTACAGTCTGTTAACCAATAGTCTACATACTTTATCTTCAACCATTTGACACAGTTATAACTTATCGAGATAAACTGTAGTAGTCCCCAAATAATCTTGAACAACAACCTATTTGAATGAAAGACTGCAAAATCTTTGAGTTAATTAAACTGTAAATTCAAATTGTTTAAACTCCTTAATGGAACAGTGATGCATTCACCGTAACCCTTGATTCCTAACCTGAAGCTATTTTTAGTCTACCTGGATAATTCTAATCTAACGCTAACCTTGTGATGTTCAGCTTTAGACATCCAACAAACGCGAACACACCGATTACTTCGGAACACTGAATGAGAACAACGCAGTGAAACCAGGTAAATAATACTATATTCGTGAAAACAACTGTTGGATTGGGGTGTAATGATATTAAACAGGATATTTGGTTAGTTTAAGCTTAGGTTAGAGAGAGATAAAGTTTGGGTTCGAGCTAGGGATATGTTATTATTAGGCTAACTTAATTAGTGAGATATTAGGGCTGGTTGAGGATAGATGAGGGCTAATTTATGTGCAGATCAGGATTACGGTTAGGGTTGAGTTCACTAGTGTTCTGTCCTTTTGGGTGTCCCCTAACATTTAACCCTGAGCTTAATTCCTTGCGCTTAACTATAATCTACATCGAAAAACTTAGCGAAGCTTTTCAAGTGAGGACAGGAGTAAGAAAAAGCTGACTACTATCGCCGATGATATTCCTAATTGTGGTGGACTGGATTATGCGGCCCACCATACGTGAGGAGTGAGAAGACAGGAACACGTTGGACCGATAAGAAGACTCTACAAGCTCTGGACTTTGCGGACAGCTTATATCCAATGTCGCACAGACTCAAAGATTTACAGGTGAGGACTGCCAAGTTGGAAGCAGAGAAGACAGGACTTCAAGTAAGCACAGATAATACAGGGGAAATGAAGATACCCAGCCAGCAACATCAAGCACCAATCACGATTAGAGAGAGAAATTTGAAGAATGTCACTTATTCCAATTATCTAGGCAGCAAATACAGAATGAGGATCAGAAAAGCAAAACAGATCTTAATTAATCTGAAATTGGTGTGGAACTCTGTTGCACTCAGCATAAAGAATAAGATTCAACACTAATATCAATTCGCTTCTTCTATATTAATTCAGAGAATTGGCCTATCACCAAAAGGATTTCCAAAAAGCTTCAGAATTTTATCAACAGCTTCATTCACCGTCTCGGTACTGAAGATCAGATGGCCAGCTGGAAAGAATTAGCAACAAGAAACTCTGGGAACAAACCAATCAATAACCTATCGCTCAACAAATATTCCTAAGAAAATGGAGATGGATCGCACACTCGCTATGGAGACCGTCGGGTGACATTGCGTGCCAGGCTATTACTCGCTCGGAACCCGGATGGGAAATGAAGAGTTGGGCGTGGGTCTGGCGATCACACAGAAGGGATTGTGTGGTCAATCGCGGAGCTGGATGAGGAGGACGGCAGAGAACAGAGTGAAATGAAGATGTTCTGTTGAGTTCATATGTTCCACTTAGAACCTAAGGCAATAATAAAAGTAACCTTAATCCTAAAAAAACGAAGAGCATTCATCACCATCGGCTGAAGGTTATTGTTCAGGTCTTTAGTGTCTGTTGTAGTTTGTCTTCACCCTTTTTGTTTAATGTGGTCTATTTGTTTCTCATTATTATTTCTAATAGCTTCATCTTAGATATAACTAATGGTCTCACAGATTAGTGTGTTTGTGCTTATTCGTTGTTTTGTCCTATCTCCTCTATAGTAAGAACTATAATTTTAAATAAGGATTTTTTTCTAAGACTGTCATTCTATCAGGGTCACATTTTGTCTAATGTAATCACTGCATAACGAAGAAATAAAATTCATATGACACACTGTGACAACTGTTCATAAAAACCTACTCATTGACCAAGGAATCTTTCACTAAACAGACATTAGGATATGAAAAGAAGTCATTAAATAGAACCCAAATATGCTAACGTGATGATGCGCTGACGTTTTAGCAATCATAACGCATTATAATAACATTTCTTCACATATGGATGGTTATCTGAGAAATGTTCAAAGGTCGGATCAGAATTCTAGTTTGAATAAGGTAAACTAGTTATGACTGAATTGATTTGAGTATGGGTTATTCATGCCGTGTAACTGGGGGTGGTGGTCACAAAGTGATTATTCTGGAATAAATATAACCACTGCTTATTGGTATGATCCTTTAGTGAAAGTCTGATATTCCTCATTTTATTTTATTCACTTGCGTTCCGAGTAGAACATAGGGCTTCAATCTTGACCACTTAAGTTCTAATGGCAGTGTTATTGTTCTTTTATACGGGATGAGGCTGCTAGCCTCACACGCAACGTTTCCTCTTTAGCCGTCTTACTACCTGCTTAGAGAGATTTAGGAGTTCATCGGCAGGGAATCGAACCCTAGACTACATGAGGCGTCGTTGGTGAGCGTTCTACCACTGAACCACCGAAGAAAAATATTTCTCATCAGGAAAATTAATGATTGTTGACGTCGAATTACACTGATGCTGCTTTATTTTTTAGTCAATTTCAAACACACATTTTTCTGACAGTATTGTAAATAATCTCCTGCTTTGAGTTACGGTAGTTAGACTTCGACTGAAGTCTACGTAACACTGCCAATCCAGCGTAGCCTGAGATGTATAAACTTTGTCCATGAAAAATGGATCTCTAAAAGTAGTAAAAATAATATATCTGTTTGCAGTCCTTTCACTGACTGATATCAGTTAGAGGACCATTGAAAACCAGAGAGTACTGGACAGTTGTGTCGTCCTAGTTTGGTGTTCCTCAGCAGTACGCATCCATGACCTCACCGAAGATAGAACCAAGACCTCCAGTTTACCAAGAGAGCTCGTTAACCATTCAGCCAATGCGATGAAATTCAATGGCTCACCAGTTCTAATTTCAGTCAAATCGCGATTTTAACGCTATCGCCAGCCAATGTCATCGGTGAGTACTCGCCTTCAAATCTGACCTAATGAACTCTACTGGTTACGACTTCTCACTAGAACTCCAGGCAGCTGCGTCCTGTAGTCAGTCAATGGTAAGCATTAGATTAATTTTCAACTGTTAGTTTTTAGGAACTTGATAGATGTTAGAAGTTATAGTTTATTGGATTTCGTCCCAGTGGTTGGATGTTCAACAAGCTCGCCTGTAAACAGAAGATTTTGGTTCGATCCACGGTGAGTGCGTACTACTGAAGAGTCGTCTACTAGGACAAAACAGACGTCCAGTATTCTCTGATGGTTTTTATTGGTTCTCTAACTGATTTCTAACCAAGATCAAACTGAAGACCAATCAAATCCCTACAAACTAACACTTGAATATATCTATTTATTTTTCACTTGTTTTAACTGAATAATTCATACATTTTACTTTCTGTATAATAATTAGAAGATTTCACAAAATGTCAAAGCAGTTGTAAGCGTTCCAATGAAAATCTGCATGAACCTCAAAATTTGTGTATATCATCTGAAAACAATAAAAATAATATTTCTTTAATCACATCTGGGCTGGATTTGAATCTGTCTACTCATCAGCCGTTTTCACATTGGCGAAGAATGAAAAAATTGTGTACAACAGATATAATTCGTAAAGAAACTGACAGTGCAACGATTACTGGTACTCCTGTATGTCATCAGACAGCTTCAACAGACAATCCTGCTAATGCTACTACTACTACTTCTAATGTTGCTACTACAAACACTGTCAATACTACTTGTCACGATACTTGTTATGATACTTCAGAGATATCTGGCTTTAATCTTTCATCAAAAAGTAGTCGGATATATCAAAATTTTTCTAGTCCAACCTCTTCAATTGTTCCATTGGCTAACAATTCTTTGTTGTTAGAACCAACGAGATTTAATTCATTAAACTCTACTGGAACTTCTATAACAGCTACATTAACAACAATGAATATGCAACAGAGATTTAAAAAAGTAAGTCTTTTTTTAACATTTCATTGTAAGAAGAATGTATTCTACAGTGGAAATTTGTTTTTCATCCTTTGGAGTTCCGAGTGTAACATAGGGCTTCAAGTTTTGAAGTTTTACTAGAGTTTGTGTTGTGTTGTGTTTTTTTTAACGGGGTAGGTTTGCTCGCCTCACAGTTAACCTGTCCTCTATTCACGGCTTACCACTGACTAAACGGGGTTAAGGAGTGTGTCGGCTTGAAATTGAACCCCAGACCACGTGTTTATCTGGTAGGCAATGAAACGTGCTCACTGTAGTTTTATACTATTTTAATTTGGTTTGTGGTATTATGTTGTACCGTTTCATTTAGGAAGAAAGTTTTCCCGATGACTTCTATGAATTTTTTGGAGGTTCTACTTTAATGATGGCATTTATTAGGTTTTATTTTAATTTGTACTTCAAGAAGAGGTATCTACAATTTCGAGGGGAATTTGAAATCATCATCTATCACTTCTAGCATCACCAGGGGACTGGTGAGTTACAAATGTGACAAAAAACATATTACTACCAGCAAACAAACATTCTCGTAAAGCTAATGGTTTGAATTAGCTCTTTGAACTTACTACTCATGTGTCAGAGAAATAAAACAAAGAGGTCTTCAATATGAGTCACCTGATAATGTCTGAGCTTTCACACACGTTGTCGTATACTCGTTCATTATTGACAGTTGCATAACTTTCCATTCAAGTGATGTGCTCTTTGAATGCCTGTATTGAATTCGCTTTTCTTTATATTTTTCGAACCATGAATGAATCACCACCAACAGCAACAAAAACAACAGACAACAATCAGCATAAACGGAAGGAACCTGAAAGAAACAACCTCTTTTACCTACCTGAGAAGCATCGTTTCAACTACAGGTGGTCGGAACTGACGAGGATATCAAAGCAAGAATCGGAAAAGCAAGACAAGCTTTCATCACTCTCAAGTCTGTTCAAAGGTCAACAGCACTCAGCATCAAAAATAAGGTCCTGATTTTCAACTCCAATGTGAAGTCAGTCAGTGCTACTATACGGATCAGAGACTTGCACTGCGCGTCATAAAGAGCACCTCAAACAAACTACAGACATTTATTAACAGCTATCTTCGCTCAATACTCAAGATCAGATGGCTGGCCAGAAAAGATCAGCAATAGGGACCTGTGGGAGCAAACCAACACAGCAGGAACCGATTGTGCAACAAATAGGGAGGAAGAAATGGAGATGGGTTGGCCATACTCTGAGGAAACCATCAAGTGACATCACTAGACAAGCCATTGCTCGAGTGGAACTTGAAAGGGAAGCGGCGAGTTGGTCGTCAGTGCAAGGGTGACTTGGAGGAGGTCATGTGAAGAGGAGATAAAAACGTGTGGGCAGAGTTGGAGCCAGGTGAAAACTGTAACAGAGAAACGAACTCAATGGAGACGCACGGCTGAAGCCCTATGTTTCTCTAGGAATTAAAGGATACAATAATAATAATAATAATATAATGAATGAATCATACACAGTAGTATGCAATTCACAACGTAGTTCTCAACTCTAATGTTTTGAATGTCAACTAAGTTAGCGAACTACTACCCGTAAACAACTGCATGTCTTGTGATTTTTGAGCTTTTAAATTCCATACTCAGATAGGTATCAGTTGAAACTGAATGTTCATTTATACTGATTGAGTCAAGATATTAATTAATATTATTATTCATATTGGTTAAAACATTGACAAAGTATAGTACCCTTATTTTTAAGGATTGCGATTCTAACTGACTTTTATAATTTTCTTATGAAATTCTTAAAGTGCATTCATTCATACCGAGTAGAGGAGTATAGAGCTTCAACAACACATCTTCTCCACTTTCTTCTATTTTCTGCCATCCTTTTCAGCTGGGTCCACGATTGACCAAACTCTCTCATCTCTTCCTCACATGACCTCCTCCATGTCATCTTAGGACGACCCACTCGTCGCTTCCTATTTGGATTCCATTTGAGGGCCTGGCGCGTGATGTCATTCAAACAAAAACAAGCAATTAATTGTTTTTTTCTTTTTTTGAGACAATTAATTGTTTGTTATTATTCCATTGGATCCCAAGTAGAATAAACGACATCAGCACCACGTCACCATTTCACCCCGTCCTCTGTAGTCCCATTTTAGCTACCTTCATGATTGCCCATAAACTTTCAATTTCTCCTCATACAATCTCTCTTCCATGTCACCCTCGGACGTCCAACTCGTTCTTTCCCATTTGAATTTCACTTGAGAGTTTGTTTGGCAGTGTCACTTAACAGTCTCCTCAGAGTGTGTCTAATCCATCTCTTTTTTTAAAGAATATTTGTTAAGTGATAGGTTCTTGATTCATTCATTGCCAGATTTTCCTGTTGATAATCCTTTCCAGCTACCTGATCTTCGGTATGGAGCGAAGGAAGCTATTGATAAAAGTATGAAACCCATTGAAATAAGTTTTGGAGACTTCCTTCAAAGTCCTTCTGTCGAACAACTAAGTGGTAACGTCTCTGATCGCGTTTTTTAGTTGACTAGGGTTCGAATCTCAGAAAGGGCATGAGTCCCTTCAAGGTTGCAGATACGCCTTGCTGACTGAGTGAGTGTCAACTAGCACGAAACCTAGGTTAGGCAAGGCTTCTTGCCGATTGCCTCCAACCATCTAATACCAACGATAATAGCTGTCAACTACTTTGCTTACTGAGTTAATTTAGCTTCACTTTACCTTACAGAGAGGCATTCGTAACTTGATTAGGTAGTCGGTAAAAACTGATGACTTATTTTCTCATTAAAACAGATTTGACTCTGACGAAACGTGGATTTGCTTAAGATTATATCTTGGTAGCGAAAGCCTATTGGTTGCTTATATTTAATACTCTTGGAACCTTTTATTTTTTTCAGAGAAATCATGATCATATACCAGTTCAAATTAATGTTAGCGATAACTATTATACAGTAACAACGAAACTTTAATAATCTAAGATACTAGTATATATATAATAACTTAAAATTTGTTTTTACACGTATTCTCACGTAGATAGTAGTGTTTCTTTTGTTTGTTGTTGAAATAAATAGTTCTCTACGTATTTTAATGTTTTAACTTATATTCATTTTTTATTTGAGTAATCATCTCATTTTGTTATTATACTTTAAGGGGGATGTTGTTAAAACACCGAATGGTGTAAGAAAAAAGTTTAATGGTAAACAATGGCGCCGTTTGTGTAGTCGAGAAGGTTGTACTAAAGAATCTCAACGACGTGGATTTTGTTCTCGTCATCTATCAATGAAGGTAAGGCGCCTTTTTTAATTGATTGACTCTGCAAGTATTCTTAGGTATGCTTGATGTTCACTTAACCTTTTTAAGGAGTCAACATTTTTGTCGAACTTATCTGTTTATTTACATACTACTGATTAACTAATATGAGTAGTTAGAACCCACCACTTACATCAGACAGTAGTGCTTGCTAACCCGATTGAAGTGGTGTGAGTACTGGATGGTCGTTTCTCTCATTTAGGGCCAAATATATCAGCGGTGTGCCAGGTATGACAAAGTTGAATCAGTTGAGAAACCTTGCTACCTCCATGGGCTGAGTAGAAACAAATTCGTCGTTTGCAAATTATAAGGCTCAGCATGAGAAATCAGATGGCTACAATTTGACATGAACGGTGGTTTGAAACTATTCATATCAGCACATCAGTAGTAAATACTATCCATTCATTTCATTTGCTCTTTGATCGCCATTTTTAGTATCATGCAAACCACGTATACATACACACACATTCGCGCACATTGTGATCTGAATATTTTTTGTATCCAAAGGAAACTTTGGTGATTTTTCCCCTCGAGCTGAGTAATTTTCAAACGACGAATTTCATGCTACTTTATTCTTAGTTATCCAGTTTAGCATTTTATGTACCGAGTAATAAACTGTGCATAATGTGGAAAGGTTTGTGAAACTCCCTTTTCTGCTGAGTTTTAAAAGTTTATTATATAAGCTTGAATCCAAGGCTTCATGGTTGCTGTATCTTCGAAACCTAAATAAATCAGTAGGTGTCAGTATACGCATTATGGAAAAATGATAAAGAGTAGTATTTTCAAATGAAATAGCTTTATGCCGTGCTACATACTACTGATTAACTGATATGAGTAGTTTGCAATTAACACTGACATTAAATACCAGTTTTTGCTAGCCGGATAAAAGTGATGTAAACATCCTCTCAATAAAACATCTATTTTCGAAATCTGTTCACTATCACGTCTTAAATGTCATCATTGAATAGTTTTATCGTCATGTGCAGTGTATAGTAGATTTCTTTTCATAGTAATGAAATTGAAAATATTAGACTGTTATGAATGCTGAAAAGGAAATATGGAATTTTTATTCAGATAATTCATGAAATAAGTACTATTATGAAGAATTGATTAACGTCAATACTACTGTAAGGTGTTGCTGAGGTTCCTATCTTCAACACTGAAGGATTTAAGCTGCGATATTTGAGAAAGCATGATTGCCACCGCTGTTAACTTATCCTACAACAATAATTGCATCAAACAAGACTCATATTTTAATGCTTAACATATTCAAATGTTCTTCTGAAGGTTCTTGTAGGATTGATGCACTTCATTTACTTTAAAAGTGAACTAATTCAATTAAGTAATATATACAGAATTATTTCTTGTGTATTAGATAGCCCATTTTCTCCATGGTTTGAACAAACAGGAATCAGACTGTGGATTTTTATAGGAATATGAATTTATCTCACTTTAGATTTCGTCACGAATCAACGACATCAGTTAGAGATGATTGAAAACCCATAATCTTAGTATCAACCTCCAGCTCATTGATGGCTACTAGATGAATGTCCTGAGGCTGTACTGAAAAGTCGTAGTCAGTGGGATCCATCATATCTGAGTGAAACGCATACTCATTGAAAGCACTGATTAAGGGTAGCGCTAGATCACCAACCGACAAAGTTAGAATTTATGAGTTATACAATTCCACCTCAGGTGGATGAAATAGTCACCGAGTTCGGTGTTGTAACCTGAAGGTCTTGAGTTCGATCCCTGTCGGTGCGATCATGGGTGCTCACCGTTGGAGAGTCCCAAACTAGAACAAAACAACTGTTCAGGTCTCCCTGGATACTGGTTTATGACGAAGTCTGCATTGAGTCTGGAGTTCATCAATATCCAACCGTTAATTTGTACTTTTAATGAACTTTAATTTGTCCTTTTCTATATTGATCTTTAAATTTTAGGGAAAAGAAATGCGTGTAATGGGTTATGCTGCTGCTGTAGCTGCTTTAAACTCTTCAGGGGATAGTAAATATACTGGATCAGGGACATCTAAAGAATCTGGATCAAATCGTAGCAAGCTACATCCCTTAACATCACCATCTTCTTCGTTATTTATTTCACCTTCAATTTTTTCACCATACAAACTAACTCCTTTCTTACCGTCATCTGTTACGTCATCATCATCAACAACAACAACAAGCACAGTAGATACTGCCTTATTAACATCCAATTCTTCTATGACATTGACCTCGGCTACAGGGAGTATGTTGTCACAACAGCCGGCATTTTCTCTCCCATTAGCTTCACTTCAATTTCATGCTAACTGTAATTCAAGTATAACCACAACGGATAGTGCTGGGGCACAAATGACTTCCTTTTCTCTCTCAAGTATGTTTGTGTTACATTTTTACCAGTCAACAATTAGCTTGTCTTTTTGATATTATATGAGTTTATTCAATCTCAATATAAATGTATTATATACAGTAAACTGTGCGTTATTATCAGTACTTAAGTACTGTTGACAGCGTAGTAATTTTAAGGTCTACTCCCCACAAGCATTTGATTTCAAGTATGATCCAAAACGTAGTGGATCTACGTTCCCATGATTACCGGTGACCAAAACAGGTCCACACAATATTCAATCTGTTTGGATTCTGGAGCTCTTGTTCATCATAGGTAAGGAGTCAAGACTTTTCAACTCCTCTAAGTAGATATACATATCAACCAATCCCATTGTAAGCACCAGGCATTGGTATTCTTTTCAATTTTATGAGGAAGGCAGCGGATAAGACTTACCAGGCGGAGGCTATGAGCACGTAGCCACATGAGGTCGCTTCGATAGGAGGACCGAAGTCTACCTACCCTTGGCCGTGCCGGGTCATTTATTGGGGCGATAGGTTCTTGACTAATTCATTCCGAAAGTTCTTTGTTGCCTATCCTTTCTGCCCGACCATTTTGTCTTCATTATAGAACAAAGGCAGCTTTAGATGAAAGTCCACATTCTCTTAAATTCACAAACTAATAACTTGATGTCGAACAGTTTTCCAGATTTAAGATTTCAATACTTTTATTACCAATAGACAAGGTACATCTTCCACTACACTTTTAACACACACAGTTGATTCTTTTCAGTCCCCGTATATGTAAACTGAAAAACTTTAGGATGACTATATGTATGTATATCTTTTGTTCTGAATTAAATACTTTTAATGTTATTATCCCTTCTCCTTTTCTAACTGAGATCTCTCTTTACCTTTTTCAGATCCTGGATTTACGCCTATATTGTTCAGTAATACTACTGCTGGACCAATGTCTCCTATTCCAACACCTCTTGCTTTACTTCCTATTCTTACAGACAGCATACCTACAACTGGTAGCTCTTTCAGGAATCAGAGATCATCAGGACTTTCTTCCGATCATTGGGATAATCCGGAGACTGATACTAATAACAGTCATAAAGATAACAGTACTGGTAATCAATACTGTGATAGGGGTTACAAAGATCCCACTCATCATGAGTCGAACAACAATAGTAATAATAATAACAATAATCACCAATGGCCTACATTGTCATGTTCGATTGAGTCAGAGGATCAAGAAGATAATCAACAAATAAAACAATCGATTAATACAGGTAAGATTTCGAAACAAACATTCAGTTGAACAAGGTTTATAAAAATCTCCCAGTTGGTTGACTGCTCCACTCTCTGTGAATCGAACACTTTACTGGGATTATGAAATTTAAGAAAGTGTTACTTTTCAGCTTGTGGTTAATGCGAAACGATGTTTCAAATGTCTTTTAGCAGATAAATCTTAATAATTTGAAGACACCTGACAAATATAATTTTAAAAGTTTTAGATTCAGTTTAAAAAGTCACCTTGATTGGTGTTGATTTTATTCAAAAGTAGGTGTAGCAACTTGTTGTCGAACTCTTGCTCAATTTATCTTAAGGTGTAACAATTGTTCTAGTGGGAAGTTGTGACCATTGGGGTACGGTAGGTAGGGTGTGAGGACAATTATTGGCCGATGACATTCGCTAGTGGTTGTGCCATATCATGAATTGGCAGAAGTTAGAATTCATGAACCATTGGACCGGGCCTCAGTGGCTTAATAGTCTACCAGCTTGCCTTGTAACTAGAAGGTACTGGGTTTTACTGCCGAAGATTCCTGAACTAGGATGAAACAGCTGACTGTCCAGTACTCCGTGTTGGTTTTCCAATGGTTCTCTAACCGATGTCACTTCATGCTGAAATCCTGAAATTGTTCGAGTGTTCTAGGTCTCACTATTAGTTTATTGATCAAGACTATATGATCACTTATTGAGATTACATTATATCATCGCCTTCTGCCTACTACAGGAGATCCACATATTTTGGCTACGGAATAATTTTCGTAAGAAAGAAATTTAAGTATTTCTAGATGTTTGAAGGTTTTGATTTTTCGAATATCTGCATTAAGGACGATAATAGATAACGAGTGGAATGTTTAACACACACGTGTGTTTGTCTTATTTGTGTTTCATAACAATAATAATAGCGTTATTCCTCAAAACATACATTTGTACACAATACAGAATTTTCAGAGGGTTTCATTGCAGGATATTTACCTCTTGTGCACAATCTTCAAATGATATAATAATCGATAATATATTATCAGAAGCAATATTGTTTTCATCTGCAGTATGCTCCAATGCTACTCTACAATACTATTCTTCCATTTAGTCAGAAAATTTCTAGCGGTTGTTAGAAATTTGTTTGAAATTGTGCGCGAGTATGGATTCTGATTAACTGTGGTAATTAGAGGATTAAGACAACTCGAAACGAAGTAAAAACTATGTATTTTGATGGAGGAAAATTCAGTTAGCCCAGTGATTCCATCAGATCAGTGTGTCTTTCAGGATAATTAGGAAGTGTAGCCGACCTTTTAAGACTTTTCCAATCTATAGATTAGTAGAATGACATTCACTTCACTCGGTCATTGTATGTCGTCAAGTTTAGCTGATATAAAACCAAGGGCGGGGTCAAACCAAAATGTGGCATCAGTCCATGAAGTTGGTTTGAGGCACTAGAAAGGTGTAGACTTCCTGTTTAAAGTCCTCGGGATGCTAAGAATTAATGACTGGAGACTATTGATGATATGACTCTTAATCGTTCTGATTGGCACAGATGTGTTCCAAGTGCATTAAATTCTCGTGTCTTTTCATGTTACTGTTCTTCCTCCTGTTCATTCCTGCTACTTCTCTACTTTTCTGTGCTGCATGGAGTTGGGCGACTTGAATTGGTCCAGTTTTGTGCCAAGTTCTCTTTTGAAACTCATTCAGGAAATCGTGGCTTGTATATCGTATAGGTCAAAAACAAATTGTGATTTATTGACCAGCCTATTATCATGTTGATTGACAGGCTCTTAGTATTATAGATACCGAGGTATATGTGTAAAACTTGGGCACTGTGGTAGTAAGTAATTCCATATTAGCTTGTTTATTAGATATATCACACAGTGAAACAGTATTATTTACTGGATGACGTTTCGAACAAAATTTATTGTTCATAATCATATCAATTGTAATCTCACGACTTTGAAACATGAGTTGTATAGTTTTCTTTGTCCTCTCCTATTTGTCGTCGCTGGGGTAGTAGCATCTTCCAGATATCCAACTGGACAGGTGTTGAATCATTCCTATTACACGCAATCTCTTCAGTTGATTCGATAAACAAAGCTTCTGTTATCAATCTCTCCCTATACCCTGTGACATTAGATTTTAAAACTGTCATCTTATCCTATCCTATTGTATGGTTGTGTGTAACTGCATGTAGTGCTATAGCTGAACTATTCTCTAGATTTCTTATTTTATTTGGATCAACTAATCTAGATTTCGCTAAGTTTTTATGTTCAGCTAGTTTGACTGCCCCTGTTCTACTAGTTTGACCTATGTATTTGACCCGACAATCATTGTAGGGTATTAGATAAACTAAATTGTTTTGTTTTAAAGGCTCTACAGGATCCTTTAGCCGACAAAGCTTGTTTCTAATTGAGTTTGTGGGTTTGAATGCCGTTTTTATTCCTGTCTTGTTGAGAATTCTGCGTAAGGCTTCCGAGGTTCCTTCCTTGTATGGAATTACTACTGATGATTTAGATTCTTTATTGTTGGTGTCGTCATTAATAATATTATTATTATCACTATTATCATTATCATGTGATCACAATTGATATGATTATGAACAATAAATTTTGTTCGAAACGTCATCCAGTAAATAATACTGTTTCACTGTGTGATATATCTAATAAACAAACTAATATAGATACTGAGATATTTTTTCCTGACTGAATAGTGAAATTATATAGAAAATCATTGATTGATGATGGAGTAATTGACAATTCTTTCTTTTATAACTTGAGGCTGTACAGCAATGCGCATACGAAAATCCTATATAGAATACTGTCTAAAACCTCTAAATCCCAGTTAGTATGTATTTCGAAACTCATATTAATTCATTATGTAGTGAAACCATCATCCATTGTTACAGGTGGGCATTTATTCTTATTCATTAAGTGTATCATCATAACCTGTAATTAGAACCTTTGTGAAAGTATCGAAAAATCGGTCGCTGGTGATTTCGTCATTTACAAGTGTTGGTTTGCAGGAACTTAATTTCCTTCAAGTTAGACCACGAACTGAAATCAGTAAGAGGACTATTGAAAACCGGGAATTAATGCAGAGTCTTTTCGCCCTAGTTAGGGACTCTTCATCAGTAGACAATCATAACCAGATGGGGAATGGAAACCAGAACCATCAGATAACGAGGTGAGCCTATTGATCATTTAGCCACTTGGATGGAATTCCATGGCTCGTGAATTCTAACTTCTGGTTCTACCATGAGCCAACATTAATTAAAGAACTACTGGAAAATCATAGAGTACCGGACAGCTGTTTCATCTTAGTTCGAAACTCTTCATCGCTACACACCCGCCGGGGTTTAAACCTAGGACTTTTTTCTACCAATTCGTCATGTATAGTGCCACCTCCATCTAATGTCATTAGTGAGAACTCGTCACCACACCATCAGCCTGATGGACCTCACTCATCATGGCTTCCAATCAGAACTCCAACTACTAATGATTCGTTAGGAGTTCACTATCTTTAGAACTATTTTTATTGATGAATCTATATTAAGTACTACATCAGTTTACCTTAAAATATGGATTTTAAATTTCCCTCTCCTTGTTTTTAAAATTTATTTAAAATTTAATCCAATAATCATATTGTTTTTAAAAAAACATTTTTCATTACGATGCAGAAATCACTGAAAATTCTGATCTGATGGATAGTGATGATAAATCAACATTACCATCTGGAATATGCAATAGTTATAGGGTAAGTAATGAATTCATTCATTTTATTTTATCTGTTTATTGAATGCTATTCGTAGATTAGCGAAATTATTGTACACTGATTGAATTGGGAGTGTATGGTTTAAACTGATCATTTGAGTGGGAAAGATTTAAAATCTACTCAAAAATTGTTCCTGTAACTTTTTATTCAAACAAATTTTAAATGAAATAGGTTTAAAACTTTCAAGTGCTGGTTTGAAGTTATTTGAGTGATTATATTTTAATTTAAAGTGACAGTACTTAAAGAAACATTAAAAGCCAGGGAGTATTGGAAAGCCGTTTCGTCCTAATTTGGGACTCTTCAATAATAGTACGCGCCTACTGGGAATTGAATCCAAAACCTTCAGGTTGTGAAGCAAACACACTTGCGAGATGAGGTTCTTGGAGTTCTAGTGAGAATTCTTGACCGACAGGTCACTAAGTCAAGTGTGATCACAGATACGCGCCTATGAAATCAACTAACAGTGCCGCTATTTTCAGCCAACCAGCAGGAGGTATAATTCATGAGCCACTGGGTCATATCACAGTGGCTGAGTGGTCAGTGGAATCGTCCCTTAGCCAGAAGCTCCTGGGCATAGGTGTGCAAGATTTCTATTCATCATTGAAATGAAAGAATTTCATAAAATTCATTGGTATTGACACTTTTTCCCTATAGAACTTACTTTTTTATCATCCTGAATTACACTGGGTGGCGTTGGTATAATTTCTCAAATTAATAGAAGTTAGAATTCATGGGCTGTCGGATTCCGACTCAGTGACTGAATGGTAACGCACTCAACCGATAACCGGAATGTCCTGATTTCCATCTCTAATGGCTGGACAGTAATCCCTAGTTTTCATTGGTTTTCTAACTTTCTTAAAATCGTATACTTATCTATTGGATATTATTCCATGCATTTTTCGTCTTACATTGTAATGAAAAACTTTATGATTCCATGGTGTATAACTGATCTAAATTATTTGGGAATGTTAGCTTACTGTATCATCCTAATATGTTGTACTTTTGTCATCATTGAGTAATAATTCCTTTCTCACTAACTGTAACCTAGTGATCAACATACAGAAGTTAGTTTAATGGAGTTGAGGTTAATCTACAGGAAGATCTGGAATTAGGTTTCGTATATATTGGCACTTGTCGTAGAAGAAACTAGTCCCCCCTACCCCATCGTGAAATTTAAACCTGCATCATCCGGTGCTGCAATCATAAACGTCATTTCACAACATCAGTTCCTTCGAGGTTTCAGATACACCTTCTTGGTGACTGTCAATAAGTACGAAGCTTAGGTTAAGGACTTCCTACCAATCACCTTCAATTGCTTTACATTTATTTAAAAGTGCACCATTATGGTGAGTAATTTAGCTAGATGATCATATTGTAAACTTGACCGTTAGAAGTCAGACAGCACCAAGACAAAGTTCTAGACATGTGAAATTGGACTACACCCTGGCGATCAATCAATGTATACAGAATGTAACTAGTAGAAAGAGTAAAGAGTTGAATAGCTTCAAAACTGACCAATCATCCACTTTGTTGATATCTTCAGTTGGATTGAATTCAGTATAGTATTCTCGTTTAGTCATTTGTTAGATAGGAATCAAATAATCAATTATTCATTTCTCTCTTATTCTTAGTGTCTTTATTATGGATTAATGGAGGATACACTTTCATGTTTTCAGGTTTATTTTGTATTTTCCATTGATTAGTTATATTGTTGGACCGGCATATGTCGGCTCCTAGTACACTGTCTTAGAATTAATGTGAAGTTATTTTGGTTGGTGGTAGTATCTGGCAGGGGAATCTATGATTCAAACTTCGTCCTACTTGGGGCTCGTCAGCCGTATATATCTGCATTCCCAGTGAGTGACTGGTTGTGTCCCCACCGAGACTCGAACCCTGCACACATTGTTTTTCCCGTAATCTGGTGGACAATTCTTTATGGGGTTTGAAACTATAGTTTCAGGGTTCAATTCCCAGTAAATGAATCATCACTCATTGGGAATGCAGATAATGAGTCTCAAATAGAACGAAATCGACCCTTTGGATTCCATTGATAGTTAACATCAAAGCAAAGTAAGGATATGCTTTTATTATGAATCAGACTATTCAATTTCGCCTCGTTTTTGAAGTCCATTACTTACTGCCTAAGAGCAAAATAATAATAATAACAATAATCAATCTTTGATTAAATTGGGAATAGGAAGATGATGTCGGGAAAACATAAGTGAAAATTATCATAAACATACATCTAAAATGAAGCAGATAACAAGCATACACACTCAGATACACTTAGCAGCGCAGCAATAAAGACGCATACTTGACCTATTCTTTTTCTCAATGAATCACCACTCCTCTGTATACACAACCAATACAACTCCCGACATATCTTTTTGTCAACAAATGCTTTAGGCTTTCCTCCTTCTTTTTGTGTGTGTTTAAAGTAATTCTAGTCTGGGAGATAACAATAAAAAGGAAAGACGAAAAATAATTTAACCTTTTCTAATGTGTCACCATTTTTTAGTTTACTTTTTATTTTGTTTGTCTATTTACTTATTTATATTATTTATTTACTTATTTATTCATTCATTCATTAATTTATCTATCCTCGAATAAACGAGGTGATGATTCATTCAAAGAATCATAATAGCTAGATAGATAGTCAGTCAGTCATTCTATTAATCAATTAGATATTCACAGAAGAACCAGAATAAACTCTATCGTACGACAGGAAGTATGCATTAAATCTACTAGGAGTTTCTGTCTTTCTGTCTATCTATCTATCTATTTATCTATCTGTAGCAGAGCAACAACCAGCTTCATCACCTCACCATCCAGCCTCACTAACCCCCGCGGTTGCCTACTCTTTTCTTTTCTTTTCTTGTCAATAGGATAAATCAAGTATGAATAAGGGAATTAATGAAGTGTTCTAGGTCTGATTTTTAGCATTGTGAAATAAAACTTTATTCATGTGTTATCGAATTCATTAGTCAATCAATTTCCCCCATCTTTCTCTCTCCCTCTCTCTCCCTCTCGTTACTTCTCTTTGTCTCGTTAACTTTTCATTTACAGGATATTTTGCTTCTATTATTCTTTAGCATTGAGAGAAGAGATAAAGAAAACAAAAATCAATTTCATAAAATAATATAAAAACTTGTTATATTCCATATTAGATAAGTTTATTTGATGTAATACAAAGTGATGCTAAAGTTTTAACAACTGGATGACATTTCGAGCACAATTTACAATAATAATAATATAACATATTCATTCCCATCTGTGTAGGAACACACCGATTGTACAGGCATGTGAGAAGAATCTGTTGACTAGTCATTCAATGGGGACACATTGAGAAATATAGGGATATTGTCTTCGTCTTTGCACTAACAAGTATGTGTTGGATGGATTACAAATACGTGGTCAACTCGTAAAAACATAACTAACCCTTACAAACCAAACTATAGAAAATTAATGTGATGCTCGCTAGTGACTTGCTACAGGATGGAGTTTCCTGGAGTTTTAGTGAGAAGTCGTGACCAGTGAGGTTCAATTAGATGTCACGTGTGTGGATGGATGTCCCACCAACGACAATGGTTGGGGTTGCGCTAAATCACGAATTGGTAGAAGTTAGAATTCATGAGCCATTGAATTGGGTCCCAGTGGCTGAATGGTATACAAGCTTGCCTTGTAACCGGAAGGTCCTCGGTTCGAATCCCAGTGGGTGCGTACTGCCGATGATTCCGAAAGAAATAAAGCCTAAAGTCAATCCCTCCACCTAACTTTGATGTGTAAGGCATCGAATCTTATTCATGACTGATACCCAAATAGGGTATTAATTTAAAATAAGTGATATATCTGTATGACTTTCTCAGCATTGTTGTCATAGGGTAACATCCCAATTGAATTGTACCCCATGCAGACTGATATCGGCCGTAGCCAGGCAGATTTGTTTTACTGCGCCGAAGTCAGCCACCATTTGTAGCTGCATCGTGTTTTGTACGAGTAAGTTGATTAAGATGTAGGAAAATGTTTGTAAATCAGTTTGATCTTCATTTTAGGTCATGGATACTGCTCGTATAGGATGTTATACAGCGTCCTGATTTGGTAACAGGGGATTTTTCAAGGATGTTGATTTATTACCGGCGAAAAGCTTGAAGGATGATGTGGTATATATATAAGTGGCTTCAAGTCTTGTTCAATTTCAGTCTTATTGTAGATCTGTGCAACTTCTACTATTGCTGCTCATAATCGTATCACTACATTCGTATGGCTTCATAATTTGCTTTATATTTAGGGGACTGTTTAACCAGCTCAATAACATAACAAGTATGATAATAAAATTCCAAGTTAATGAAAGGATTGTGTAACGGTATATTATAAAAAATACAGTAATGAGTTATATTAATTAAGCGGTTACTTGGATATTCAGTTAAAGTCCACGGTTACAAATTATTAATATAATCCACAGATGCGTTCACTGCTGGAATCGTGTCTACTGGTAGAAGCTGTTTACTGGTTGTAGAATTGACTCCGGATGAGGATAAGAGGTTCCTGCAAAAATCCAAAGTATACAACATGGTTATGATTGGAGCAAGTAAATAGAACAAACCAGCGAGAAGAGGAGATGACCAACAGTACACTGTATTTTAGATTGTACTCGGAAGTTATCTATATTCCAACATGAATCGTTTTAAGCAAAAGTCATTTACAATGTCTCTAATTTCAACATCTAGTAAAAAGGTGTACAGTCATATTGTCACGTACTCCACATATATACTTTTCCCCTTGTTATTCGCTGTAATTTTCCCTATATCCGGTATAGGTGTTGCGTCATTTCGATTGCATGTGTTTGGTGTTGATTCGATGAACAAAGACTCCTGTCTTCCCACCTAATTAATATTACTTTTTAATACTTCCACTCTGTCCCACTCTATTGTTTGATTATACGCAAATGAGTGCATTGCAGTGGCAAAACTTTTCTCCAAATTATTTAACTCAGCAGGGTCAATTATTGTAGATCTAATCTAATCTAATTGACCTTGATCTACCAGTTTGATCTATGTATTTGACTTCACAGTCATTAAATATTATTTTTCCTAATCGGATCCATTGGGTTCTTAAGCTACGTTGGGCTTCTGATGTTCCTTCTTTATGTGGCAGTACTACAAAGGCTGTGAATTCCATATTAGTTATATTATTTTCTTTATTTACATTACTACTCTTGTCCTCCTTATAAATCTTCATATATTTTCGAATAAATTCTGGTGAGTAGTTATTCACTAATAATGTTTTCTTTATTTGTTTGATTTCATTATTTAAATCTTCTGGCCTGCTAGTTAGGCTTCTGGCCCGATTATTTAGACATCTAACTAAACCTACAATTACCGATTTTGGATGGGATGAATTAAAGTCTAAGTATTTATTAGAGGGTGTCGATTTCATATAACTGCTAGTATCTAACCCATCATCTTGTTTTCGTTCTATATTACAGTCTAACAGAGATAACTTAATCTCTTCACTATCTAACTCAGAAGTGAATTGGATTCCGTCTGCTAATAAAAGTTTCCATGTTTGAAGAATCGAGGGATATGTTCAGGTTTTAACACAGTGTGAACGTGTCATCCGCATATCTTCACCATAACCTAGGAGCTTTATGTTCCCAACTATCCATAAATATGTCTGCTATTAATGGGGATATTGTTAATTCTATTCCCTCCATATTTGTCTGTTTGTATATTTTATTTTGGAATTTGAATATAGTGGAGGTTAGGCATAATTGTACACCTATTATTATTTCATCAACTGAGAGCTTGGTCCTGTTTCTGAGTTCAGAATCAATGTCCATTTTATTCCTAGCCGCCTTTCTACTTGAATTTCATCTAGCTTTCATTTCATTATGTATGAATTATAGATAGCTTAGAATTACTGTGCTACGTCAAATATACCCATCTAGTATGGAAATACATTCTATCACAGTGGTTAAGTTCTACATTTAAATTAGCTTCTAATATTGTTTTGTTCTTCTAAAAGAAACTCTATTCTACTGTAACGGGAGAGGACAAGAGCCTGTGTAACGGAATGTGTTTTAACAATTTGATATACACACATAGTGAAATTATGTATGCTTTATCTGCAAATCGTCAGTTGCACAGATCTTCCGTGCATTGTGTTTCTTAGTCCTCTTCTTTTCGTGTCTCCAGTGTTTTGCCACAATACTGGTTTATTATATTATTATCATTGTTTCCTTTAATTCCTAGAGGAACGTAGGGCTTCAGCCGTGCGTCTCCATTGCGTTCGGTTCTCTGCTAGAGTTTTCACCTGTCTCCAAGTCTGTCCACACGCTTTCACCTCCTCTTCACATGACCTGCTCCAAGTTACCCTTGCACTGACGACCAACTCACCGGTTCCCTTTCGGGTTCCACTAGAGAGATGGCCTGTCGTGTGATGTCACTTGATGGTTTACTCAGAGTATGGCCAGCCAATCCACCTCCATTTCTTCCTGCCTATTTGTTTCACAATCGGTTCCTGGTTGGTTCGTTCATTGCCAAAGATCCCTCATGCTGATCTTTTCTGGCCGGCCATCTGATCTTGAGTATTGAGCGAAGACAACTGTTAATGAAGGTCTGTAGTTTGTTTGAGATGGTCTTTATGACGCGCCAAGTCTCTGATCCGTATAGTAGCACTGACTTCACATTGGAGTTGAAAATCCGGATCTTATTTTTGATGATGAGTGTTGTTGACCTCCACACAGACTTGAGAGTACCAATACTGGTTTATTCGCTGTCTTTGACGTTGAATCTATCTCTCCACTATTTAGTATTTGTGTGTGTGCTGATGAACGTCTCTTTATATACTACTGATGAATCTTGTCAGCAGTACACGCCACACTACTACCATAATTAAATATGTTGTTCAGTGGGAATGTCAGGGCGTTGTTATCATATGTATACATATACGTGTTGAGAAAAATTACACATTATCATGACATAATTACTATTCAAAGTTTATCGCTAAATGAGTTCTTGTAACTTACTTTTCAGAATCAAGGCGTTATACGTCTATATATATATATATATCTGTGTAACTTTCTATTTTTATTGTAATTTTTCTCAAAGGCAACCGCTACCACTACTGATGAAGAGGTGATAACTACTCCAAACGCAGTTCATTCAGATCTTTCAAATTCTATTACTGCTCAAGATTTGAAGGAATCGATAAATTCAGTTATACAGACATGTAAACATGCAACTACTACTACTGATAATAATAATCCTCTGAAAGATAAGAAACATGTTCGTCGTCCAATGAATGCATTTATCATTTTTTCTATGCGACATCGTAGTGAAGTGCATCGTTTATATCCAAATAAAGATAATCGTGTAGCAAGTCAAATTTTAGGTGATTGGTGGTATCGTTTAAATGCATCAGAGAAAGCACCTTATCAAGAACTGGCTCGTGAAGTAAGTTTTACTGTATTTTTTCTTTTTACTGCATAACAATTATATTATCATGATTAATCTATTTGTATTATATTGTGATTGTTTTGGGTCATACAACTGCCGTATTCACAAGGAGGTAAATCATATCTTTTCAGGTTGACAGTATGAAGCGTGCTGCTAAGTTACGGAAGCATACGGGTTTATTATTGAATCTGAATTCGAACACACATTTATACATCTGAATAACCTCGTCCAAGTTGCTGAATAGTTAACAGGCTCACCTTGTAAACTAAAAGTCCTGGATTCGATCCCTGGCGATGTCGTGGATGTATAGTGCTGAGGAATGCCAGTGCTCCAATACCCTATTTTCATGTGTTGCTGATTCGATAGCAGACAACAGTGCTCGCCTACCACGCACCTAGTCCAGGTTTGTTTCCTGCCCAACGCACACGTAAACCTCACCTAGTTTGCTAACCAGTAGAGTAAGCCTGGAAAAGAAAGAAAAGAGTGAGAAAGTTAGCTGCGTAAAAAACAAAACAGTCATTACTGAAACGTTAAAACTTGAAGTTCTGTGTTCCACTGAGGACACAAGGGAAGAGAGAAAAAATGGTTTGAATAACCTAGAGACTTGTCTCGCACAATCAATAGACAACAACAACAACAACATGTATTATGCAATATAATGATAAATGAGACAATGAAAACAAAACAAAAATCATGTAATAAAAGAATTAGCAGAATAGTTATTGAATAAATACATTAAAAATAAAGCTTTAAAATAACATGATGTCTGCTTAATAAAAGAAAATTATTGTATGTGAATACATCTACTCAAGCTGTTGTTACTACTTATAACAAGGGAAGTCAGGAGCAGTGGCACAGTATAATTCCATCACAGGATCCTTGTGTTTTTTTTGATAAAAAAACATAGTGATACAGTATTATTTATTTACTGATGACATTTTGAACACAGTTTACTGTTCACGATCTCATATCAAGGCATTCACACAACTTTCGAACTATGTTTATGTAGTTCTATTATTCTTATCTTTGTTATTGACGTTGTATCATTCCTATTGTACGTGTTGGGTGGAGATTTAATGAAGAAAGATTCATTAATTCAGTGCTTATAGCTTACTTTTTTGTCCGACTACATTCTTGATGTATATGTGTCACAGCCTTACGTATCATAAGGTCATTCAAAAGACCCCTTTTAAATATACATATGTTTCATCAGTTTAATGAACTATCAATTCAAGTGTTGGTTTGTAGGGATTTGATTGGTTGCAGGATTTCATCGTGAGCTGACATTAGTTAGAGAACCATTGGAAAACCTGGGAGTACTGGACAGCTAGTTCATCTTAGTTTGGGACTCTTCATCGGAATGCACCAACCACCGGGGTTCGAACCCAGGACCTTCTGGTTACAAGGCGAGCTCGTATACCATTAAGCCACTGGGACCCAATCCAATGGCCCATGAATTCTAACTTCTGTCAATTCACGACATAGCTTGACTCCTAGCCAATGGATTAGGTCCCAGTGGCTTAATGGTATACGAGCTCGCCTTGTAACCAGAAGGTCCTGGGTTCGAATCCCGGTGGGTGCGTACTGATGAAGAGTCCCAAACTAGGACGAAACAGCTGTCCAGTACTCCCAGGTTTTCCAATGGTTCTCTAACTAATGTCAGCTCATGACGAAATCCTGTAACTGTCAATTCATTGCTTAAAGTAAAAGGTTATGTTTTAAAAGTAGTTTAAGTAGGTCAACTCAGTTGATCGACTTATGATGAAGAATAGGTTGAGGATAGAAGGTATTGCGAGGTATTTTCACGCATTGTATAGCAAATGCTACAGAAGATATTCCAGCTGTGCAACACCTTTGAAACAGTCAAACGTAACATCTGATGGGATTATTACAACATTCCTCTAAACACGTAATACCGAACTACCCGAAGAAATTCAAATCGTAGTTAGTCACCTCTGCTCTACCTATACAAGTATACTGAGACGAAAGTGTAGCGTATTTGATTCATAATAACTTATATCCTCCCCTCGAAGAATATGACTAAACTGAGGTGGTTAATAAGCATTCGTGTGTCTGTGAAAGATGAAAATCTGATGAATTTGATGAAAATGTTTGGACGCGAATGATTAAGCCGCTCTGGTTTTCGTATTTTGATTGTTACCACTGAATTTTGTTTCACCGTCTTAGGGTGTTACATCATGCAGTATGATTTTTCAGTAATTTACTTATATCTATAATAGAATAATGTTTTGATTACTATTTCTGCTACTATTTTGTTCTCTTTTTATTTAGCTTAAAGCTGCACATTTTCAATCATTTCCAAATTGGAAATGGTCATCTAAACAAAGACGTAATTCAGGTAATACTGTTAATAACAATAAAAAGGCGGATACAATGGATTCTTATCATTCTGATTTAAAAACACCAACAACACAACTTGCTACTGACTATGATAAACTATCAATAGATGAAAAGTGTTCAGTGAAAAATATTTCAAATGCGAAATCTTTGTCTTGTAATGAATCTGATAATTTAATCGAGGAACAATCTTTAACAAGCTTACCATTAAATATGGAGTCAAATGAAGGTATGTATAATGATGCTTAATCATCTTGACAAATTTTATACTTACATTTCTTGAGTTCCAAGTGGAAAATCTATGTCACACCATTCCATCGGTTTATTACTTCGAGTGGGACTCGTTATAAAATGTCAGAGATTTTACTCAGTCATATTAGTGTCTATCCATCTTGACCTCTGTTAAATGTCTCACATTATTATTATTTCTTCGAGTGTCAAGTGAAACATCAGCCTTCAGCAGCACATCTCAATTTGATCCTCTTCTCTGCAGTCCTTTTTACCTGCCTCGACGATTGTCCGTAGACTGGTATCTCCTCCGTGTTATCCTTGAACACACATCTCTACCACACACTCACTTTCAGCCGGGTCTACAACTGCCCACTAGCTTTCATTTCATCTTCACACGATCTCCTCCATGTCACTCTCAGAACCATGCAGAACATGTCACTTCTAATTCCGGTTCCATATTTTTGTGAAATCTTAAAGAGTTCACATAGTTGCTTTATTATTTGCTTTAATGATTGAGAAATTGAGAACTGAAGTTAAACGACATGTTGGTAGGCTGTTCAAATACGTTAGAATAAACGTATCCAAATACTAGTTCACTCATAATCTTATATCTTTTGAATAACTTAGCAGCATGCCGTTTACTTTCAGTCGAAATTAAATCTTTATTAGTCTAACTATAGTCTGCTTATTTTTAATACGGATGATTATTATTGTGTGACACAAATTAGTGGGTAGGTATATAGATGTATACATTTCTTAAGCTTACTTCATGTCTACCTGCTTTGATTGGTAGCATGTTGCACTACAAAGATGAAAAATTCAGTTATTTTACTCAATGTAATAATTTTCACGAAATGTCATCACCTGTCTATGCTAGACACCGAGGATCAAATAACCAGTCGGAACGAATAATCAACAAGGATGTCTGGTAGAGAACCATTCACAAATCTATGACTGGCCAAACAAGTATGCAGAAGAAAATGGAGATGGATTGAGCATACTCTAAGGAAATTTTCAAGTGATATCACACGTCAATAAAATTCGCTGAGCACAACCCGAATGGGAAGCAACAAATTGGTCAAAGGTCTAAGGGTAACACAGAGGAGATCATGTGAAGAGGAAACAAAAGCTTATGGGCAGATGTGGAGCAAACTGAAAGTGATAGGAGAGAATCAACTGCAGTGGAGATGTGGTGCTGAAGTCTAGTGTTTCACTCAGAACTCGAGGAATGAATTAGAGTAATGTGTTTTAATTATTAAACAGTCCATATTATATGTCAAAGAGATATTTTAATATTTTTTTATTTTAATATTTTTGATTACAGCTTGATGCCGCACCTTGTTTTCAGTACAAGTATGGAATTTTCAGCATGGATATCGGTAGCCCAAATTTTTCAGGCCGACCATAGATATCGGGTGTGCGTCGGCAGGGGTTCGAGCCCCAGACCATGTGCATGGTCGGCGAGAGTTCTAACCACTGTGCCACCGACGCACAAGCATTTAGTCCCATTAACAAACAGGAAATACGAATTGACTTCAATAACATTCCTAATTTTGTTGGACTGGATTACACAGCAGACTGTAGAGAGCTAGAAGACAGGAAGACGTTTAACTGGTAAGAGAACTCTAGAAGATCAGGGCTTCGTGGATGATTTATGTCTAATTTCAGATGAACTCGAAGATCTACAGGCAAAAGCCAATAAACTGGTAAAAGAAGCAACAAAACAGTACTTCAGGCAAACAGAGAAGCTGGATTCGATGCAGATAACGAACCAACAACAAGCAGCAGTCACTATTGAAATTTGAAGACCTTTGAAATAGGTCACTTCCTTCACTCATCTGACCAAACAGTATTGTCTCATTGATGGTTGGTACAGATGAGGATGTCAGAATTAGAATTGGAAAGGCAAGAAAGACCAGCATTACTCTGAAATCAGTTTGGAAATCTTCTGAACTCAGCATAAACAACAAGATTCGGATTTTCAATACAAATGTGAAGTCAGTTCTTTTATATGCGTCAGAAACGTGGCCACCACGACACGAAAATCATTTTCAACAGGTTGCGAACTTTTACCAGCGGATACCTTTGCTGGCCCCTTACTGAAGATCAGATGGCCGTCGAGAAAGAATTAGCAACAAGAAACTCTGGGGAAGAACCAATGAAGAACATAGGGCTCAACAAATATTCCGATGGATTGGATACACGCTGAGGAGACCATTGGGTGATATTGGGCTCCAGGCCGTCTCTGTAGTGGAGCGCGAATAGGAAACGAAGAGTTAGGCATGTGTCCGAGGGTGACATGGAGGAGATTGTGCGAGGAGGAGATGAGAGACTATTGGCAATTGTGGGGCCATCTAAAGAGCACCACAAAGAATAGGATAAGATGGAGATGTGCTGTTGGTGCCATCTGTTTCACTCAGAACCCAAGGAAACAATAATAATAATATTATTATAATAACATCAATACAATGTTTGGCTAGTTAACTGAAGGATACTTACCAACTGATGCAACACTAGAGCATAATAATGGCATACACTTCTTATTACTTATTTATGATTTAACAACAGAAAAAAGGGGATAATAGAACAGCTCATTAGAGCGCTTTTTAAATGCAAGGCTTGCAATCAATTATTTATAGAATAGGTAATGAAATGGTAATCTTTAAATGCAAAAAAGTCGCAGTCAGAAAACTAGTTCAGTGTTTAAGTACACAGAAATATGTTGAAGCATGTTAATCTTGCGTAATAACCAGTATCAGTTTAACTTTAAATTATTGTGTTTCTTGAATTCTATAACTGTCAAAAATCCCTAAATGATTTACGTAAGTGAGTGGTTTAAAGGTATAATGCTTGTAAATAGAGCAAATGGTCTGAGGTTCGATTCCACACCGATGCACTCCTAAGCCGACAGTATGTCTGAGAAAGTGAGGTGTGGCATGAAGCTAGCAACTCCACCTCGTCATAAAAACAAAACCACCACTATTGGAACATTGAAACCCTATGTTTCGCTTGGAACGCAGGGAATGAAAAGGAAAAATGAGGTTCAGTTTTTTGAAGCATAGTGAATAATTTCTCAATAATAATACAAAGTTTCAAGCTTAAGGTTATTCTAATTTCTTTTAATAGATTTCTTCACGCACCAACATCAGTTGGAGAGATCGCTGAAAACTAGGGAGCACACTGGACAGCAGTATCTTCCTAGTTTAGGACTCCTAAGCTGTGCGCACCTACGATTCCACCAAGGATCTAACCAGGGACTTTCAGGTTATGAGACTAAGCTCGTTGACGATTCGGTCACCATTAAATTGTAACTTTATTGACCCATGATTTTTTGCGTTTCCCTTACCCTCACCTTCAATGGGCATCCACTGAGTGGTCAACCTGTAGGTCTCAGGTTCGATTCCTGGTGGGTTCGTTGCTGGGTACTGTTGAAGAGTCCTAAAATAGGACGAAGCAGCCGTCCAGTGTTCTCCCTTGTTTTCAACTGTCTGTCTAACTGATGTTGGTTCTTGACGAAATCTAACAACTGGAATTATAATTAATTCTAATCCCTACAAATCGTATATTCTAAAGATTAAGGTTATTTATTTGAAACAATGGTTACTGAACAAAGAATACTCTTTTAGATAACTTCATCATCAGGTTCTACAGTTATATATGCACATTATGGTGTATGAAGTATTGTTATGAACAACATTAATGTTTAAATTACATCGAATCAATAATAATATCAATAGATTACAGTTCACTAGCATCAACATAACAATAAACTGGATGTCAGAAAAACTAGGAAAGATAATAATACAAATTCATGAATTTATAGTCTCTGCTGAATGCCGACCAGGGCAGTAGTAGTGGCTGGACTTGCTTCTTTTGCACACAAAGCACTGGTTGTTTCACGCGAATTGCGATAGCCTTTGCTGTTTGGAGCATGTGGTACCTGGTAGATGATAGAGAAGGATTGTTCAATGATGGCTTTGTGGCCGATATGGACCAGATGGTCTAATATCCAACTGTTGATGGTTTTTACTACACCTTTACTTAGCCATATTGAGCGATGTTCTCGAGCACGGAAAATCAAGTTCCTAGAGCAACAGCCGATATAACTCACTCCACAAGCACAGTTGAATTGATAAATACTATCAGAAGTGGCTAGCTTGTCTAGGTACTTCATCTTTCAGTCGAGGAATCACCATCGGTCATGTAGAGAATAAGACGTGTAGTTCGCCAGCATTAAAAGTTCTTTGAACTGATTTTCTTAATTTCTTTGTAATTATTTCGCTTGGTATATCACCCTTGAATCGCTTCTTGTTTACGGATAGTGAGTAGTCCTTTTCCTCTTTCTTTGTCATGTGTTTCTTGATGATTTTATTTGATACAAATATTCTTTTAACAATAAAATATTGTTGTTTTCTCTTTTTTAGATTGTAAATCTATAGTAGAAATTGAAGAGGCTAACAGGCATACTATTAACGAAGAGAATAATTTCATCGAGGATGATTCCAATAAACTGGAGCCGAATTTATCATCAGCTTTAAACCAATGTCAATCAAATGGTTTGTATCTACTGTTGCATGCTGTTGAATATTTGAATAAAAATAATAATTATAACAATATACCAGTTAATGAATTATTGGAACATTCAGCATTGGATGTTAATGTTGATCTTGATTGTCAAATAAATACTGACAAATCACATACTACTGCCTCAATAACTGACTGTGATAAATGTGACAGTGATGAGAATGACGGTGGTGATAGTACCAAAGGTAACACAGTGGATTGCTCAATTTTCTTTTCATCTATTCATTAGTTATGTTGATCTTTTTTGTTATTTTTCTGATCCCCTGCATGTAGAGAAATACAGTCTTTATTTAGGCTTAGATCATGGACTGACTTCATTTAGAGAACCATTTCGACACACTTTAGTGGTACGGAAACATGATCTTATTAAAGGATTGAACTAAAGACCTTCGGGTTGATAGGTGAGCTCGCTGACCATTCAGTCAGAGAGGGGTGGAAACCAGTTACTCAGCTTCCCGTTGCTCCTTGGTTTTCAATGATTCATTAAGTGATATCATTTTGTCATTTAACTTTAGATCGATCTAATCCCTGAGAACTAACACTTGAAAACTCTCCTTGTTATTCGCCAAATGATTGATATTACTGACTAAGTACACCATTATTTTTAATGTTTAAATACCAATTATTTTTCTGGACTAAGTAGATAGTCATTGTAAGTGGGGAAAAATCATATTATTTGATAATACTTCTTAGGCTTCACACTGTGTGAACAAAGCTTTCGAAGTCAAGTCTGCTTTAACGAGAAAATGATTTTGGTACATGTTCATGGTTAGTTGTCCAGGAACTCTTCTGAATGAATGACTTGTGATTTATTGCTGCATTAGCCTTTGTTTGCTCGTCTAAAAAGTGATTTTCTGAAGAGGCGTTATTGAAAATCTTTTTATGGCTGCTTTTGTTCCTCCTGTTTAGTGCGATGTTTTCGTCTTGCCTTCGAATTCAATAATTGGACGGATTCGATCCCCCGACTTAGAGTAATTAGCCCGCTCTAGATTTTTGTTTGAGATGCCTACTTTAATAGCTTCTCTGTTTCATTTTGGAGACATTTTATATTTGAAGTTACTTTACCAGGTTGTATGTTTTTGAAAACAGCGTTTCTAGGGAAAACAGTTGGGATTTTGAGCTCATTCGATGAACTACTTACCTGGTTCAATGGTATGATCAAAATGCTTTCTGTTAATTACTTCGAGTGGGACTTGTCATAAAATGTCACAGATTTTAATCAGTCAGAATAGTGTCTGTCTTTTTTGACTTCTGTTAAATACCACATATAATAAGTATTTATTTGAGTGCCGATTGGAATATCGAGCTTCAGCAGCACATCTCTATTTCATCTTCTTCTGTGCAGTCCTCTTTATCTGGCTTCACGATGGCCCATAGACTGTCATCTCCCCTGCGTACGGACTCTTCCATGTGACCCTTGGACGCACAATTTGTGCTTCCCCAGTACGATTCCACTCGGTGGCCTGTCACACGACGTCACTCAACAGTTTTCTTAGCGTTTAATCCATCTCCATTTCTTTCAACATATTTATTGGGCGATAGGTCCTCGGTTCGTTCTTCGTCAGAGTTCCTTGTTACTTAACCTTTCTGACCATCTGATCTTTAGTATGGAGCGAAGACAACTGTTGATGAAAGTCTGTAGTTTGTTTGAGATGCTCTTTATGACGCGCAGTGCAAGTCTCTGATCCGTATAGTAAGTAGCACTGACTTCACGTTGGAGTTGAAAATCCGGATCTTATTTCCATTTTCATGCTGAGTTCTGTTGACCTCCACACAGACTTGAGAGTAGTGAAAGCTTGTACTAATAACAAATTTTTGTCAGTAGCGCTCCCCCCCCCCCCAGTAGATTAAAACTAATGTAAAGGTGCAAAATATAAAGGAATAGGGGTTGATATATGTAATTCACCGTGTGATATATTCAATAAACAAATTAATCAGGAATTGCGGTATCCTTTATTCCTGTGATTATCAATTATTCTTATTGTGACTAATCGTCTTTGTTGCATTTCTACATAACGCTGTCCTCTTCTGTTCTTTTGTGGACCACAATAAAAATATTTTTTGCACTCCATTTTTAGTAGAAATCGAAAGCCTTACAGTATTTGGAAAACCTGTGAGTACTGAGCAGCTGTTTCGTCCTAGTTTGAGACTCTTCAAAGTACACACCCATCACAAGGGTTTGAACCCAGGACCTTCTGGCTACAAGGCCAGCGAGCTCGTATACCACTAAGCCACTGGGACCCGATCCAATGGACAGTGCATGAAATCTAACTTCTGCCAATTCGTGACATAGCGCGACCACTTAGAAATGTCTTCGATGAGTAGCTGTCCTCATCCTCGACCTGCTGTACCCTACTGGTGATGGCTTTCCACTAGAACCCCAGGTAACCACCTACCTGAATAGGGCCAGTCGCTAGTGAACATCAGATGAATTTTCAAGTATTGGTTTTTGTAGGGATGAAATACTCCATCCAGTCAAACGAAAACCAATATTTGAAAATTACAGTATTTGATAATTTGACAGGTCAATAGGATCCAGCTTCACTTAAAAAATATTTTCAGTAACACACGTCACATAACTCAATATTCAGTAGGTACTCGAGGTTTATGAAATGTGTGATGTAATAAAAAAATTCAGTGAACGATACTCTTGTGTTGGCAGCAGCTTACTGGTTTCGCATCATTATTATCATTTGCTTTGGTTCCTAGTGGGAAATACCACTTCAAAGGCGCATGTTCAATTCACCTTGTTCTCTGCAGTCTTTTCAAAAACTGACTCCATGATTGCTGATAAGCTTTCATTTACTCCTTTGCACGAACTCCTCCATGTCACCAAAGTACACCCAACTCATCGTTTGATTTTTGGGTTTCACCCGACTGCCTAGCACGTGTTATCACTTGAAGGTCTCTTCAGCGTGTATCCAATCCCTCTATCTAAGCTGTTCACTTATTGATGAATTTTGAAGGGCTTTATCTTTTGTTATATGTATATCAATTCGCGTATTTCCGTTTCTAGCTTTCGATATTTTTCTGTTATTTTCATTTTGTATAGTTTCGAAATTGGAAATACTTTCACTACCAACTTTGACATCAGAATCTTATGATGACAAATCTATACCAATGAATACATCAGAAAAATCTCTTTATGTAGATTCTTCTGAAAATCTAAATTCCACGTCGGTAAATGACATTCCACCTGTGCTTAAAACTTCAGACGGTTGTGTTGATACTTCAAATACTCAAGGAGAAAATCATTCATCTCAGATACCTAACGATATTGCTTTCTCACATTCAGTCGTTAAGTCATCAAGGTGAGTTATTTCTTCATTGTGAATTTTGAATATTATCAAATAATTATTCGATTGATTGATTGATTTCGATTTAATATCTTACTTGGCTGCTAGCACTTGAAGAGAGAAGATCAACTATCTTAAAGTCCTCCAAAATAGTGTAAGTCTTTTCAAATTCACCAATTGTAATTAACACAGTTCGAGGAGGTGAAATTTCACCAGTTTCTTTTAAAGTTCAAAGTTATTTAGATCACAATGTGTGTGTGATCTGCTTGATAATATAAACGATAATCAAGAAATCAAATATAATCGCTTGATATTAAATACTACTGATTATTTGATATAAGTAGTTGGATACTACACACCCCAACCGGTAGTGCTTGTTAGCTAGATTGAAGTGATTTCAACAGCGGATGGAGGTTTCGCTAGTTCGGGACCAAAGCTCATCAGTGATGTGGCCGTCTGGGTTTTAGATCAGTTAGATCTGGCTGACTAGCAAGTACCACTGGTTGGTGTGAGTGCCATACAACTACTTATATCAGTCACTCAGTAGTATACAGTTGAAGTCAGTTATTGAAGTTTATTCATGATGTGAATTATGGTCTACTTCAACTACTGAAATGTATTTATGTTTCATTGTAATCTTAATCTTTATTTCACATTTCTTTGTTTACTTCACTTTTTTGGACTTTGTTATCCTGCTATTGTATAATGTCTCGCTGTTATTTTTAATTTGTCCTTTCTTCTTTCCTATACCTTCAACTTAATGTGTAAATTTAAATAACTCCATGGAAGACTATATGGTATTGTTAAATCTTCAAATATTTGTTTTTCTCTGAGTAATTTTCTTTATTCATTTAGCAATTAAAATCACTGAAATGAAGTTTGGTATTCGTTATCATAACTGTCCACCAGATCTGGGGTTTTTTAAAGAAATTTCTTGAATCCAGAATGGAACATGAGGCTTCAAACTCTAAGCTCTGAAGTTTCAGTAGGGCTACTAACCTCACACTCAACCTTCCAACTTTCAAAGGCTTACTCTTGGCTAGTAAACTAGTTACGAGAATCAGACTTGGAGCATCTGCTTGGGTGATAAGCATGCTACCATTGAACCACTGGCGCATACTGCTTTTGGTTATTGTACTTTTTTGTGTGAAATTTCGTACATTTTTTTTTCTTAATTTATAACATGGTTTTCTAAAAGTGATAATTATAAATACATGAAACATTAGTTGGAGTAAAACACTTTAAAGTATATCAGTCTGACTAGAAGTTTAGAGTATGGATTTGTGGTGGTTTGAATAAATTTAACTTCGATTGTTACATTTCGTCTCGAATCCACACCAGTTAAAGAGATCGTTGAAAACCAGTGAGTACTTTACAACCGTTTCATCCTACTTTGGGACTCTTCATCAGTGCGCACCCGAGAGCCCAGGAAACGGTCCTGAGACCTACAGGTTACGAGACCAAACTCGCTGACCATTCAGCTACTTGGGCTGGTTTCTAACTTTGTCAGCTTATGATGTAGCGCAACCCTCAACAATGGCGGAATTCATAGAACATTGAATTCTGACCCAAATAGCTAAATGGTGAACGAGCTTGGTCTTGTAACCTGAAGGCCTTAGATCTTGATCTCTGGTGGGTTTGTGGGTGTGCACTGTGAAGTGTTTCAAAGTATGAGTAAAGATCTGTTCACTGCTCCCAGGTTTTCAATTACTTCTGTCACTGAGATCGGTTCTTGATGAAATCTAACGACTAACAATTCAAATTTCATTAGAAGTTGTTTCATGGTGTTACTCAATTGCTCAGGAAATTTCTTTAGATGGTTTACTTCGTGGCTATTATCGGTGGGTCGATAGAATAATTTCGTATTTGATGTATGAATCTTTTCGTGATGCTTAAAGATTTATACTAATGCCCAGTTAAGTAGCTGATTTATTGTAACAATAAGAAACTCAAATGATACCAATTATCAAATGTTAGGATGACTGAATACGCCTGAAATGGTAAATGCATTGGCAGTTAGATCCTCTATGTCCGTAAAATATCAAATTTATTCAATATTGGAGGCTTGCTGTTGGCTACTCAACAGTATGATTCTTGCCTAGTATGACTATTTCAGTAATCTAGTTTTAGCCTATGTGGTTACAAAGTTTAGCAGTAAGCCGAAAAAGTAGTTTCACTGCCTTCTCTCTCTGTGTAGGTGTACTGTTATATCTCTAACCTTTCATATTTGGCTATCGTTCTGTTCGTTTTTATGGCTGTGAAATGAGGCTGTTGAAAGTGGGAGATATGAAAAAGGCTACCTGTTTTTGATCATAAATATTTGCTTTCCGTCTCTCGTGTTAAAAGGTATGGTATAGTGAATAGTAAAGTGGTTAGAGGTAGACTGTTAGATAAGGAAGAAACGTTCTTTAACAAGGTTATAGATTCGCACAAGTTGAGTTGGCTAGGACTCATGTTAAGCATACTAAGCTATCTCCCTTCCTCATCGAACAATGTTAAGTGACTTAGCATTAGGTTGAAAAAGAGTTAGAAGTGGTTAAATCAAAACATCGCACCAATTATAATGAATTCTTTGACTGTTGGTTTGACTCATATAGGGATGTTTGAACTGCGTGGCTGTGATTGTAGAAATGCCAAAGACCAATAACTAGAGACTGTTGGCGACGTGGCATTAGATCGTTCTCAATGCCACATACACATTTACTCTTCTGGATCTACCGGATCCATTGGATTCTCAATATTATTCATATATCTATTCTTCTTCCTACACATCTCTATTTATTATTGAAATTTCTTTGATTTTTTAAAAATTGTTCTCTAACTCTGTGTGCTTTTATGAAGTGTGATGTCTTGAATTAATGCAGTTTTATGTAAATTTCCACAGTAGAAATTTACTTCATATCGTCAAATAAGAAACCTTCCAATATGGTTATTTAATAGTTCCATTTATACTTTTTATACTATCCAATCTTAGAACAACACACTTAAGCGAACAATATTGTTTTCAGTTAGGTCTCATCAGGCTTAACTCTATTATACATAAGTTTACAAATAAAAATTCAAATATAAACCAATCATGGTGTTTTGTCTATAGGATAATAAGACGGTGAATATAAATTGTGCTATTAGTCATAATAGTAGTAATGATAATAATAATAGTAATATTAATAATAATAATGGTCTTATCAATAATAAGGATGAGAAAGTGAGGCAATTCGTGATAACACGAATAATGAAAAACAGCATGATTAAACAAACAACTGTTCAGGTGGACGTAGTCGATAAAGGCTAGTAAAAACAAATGAACCGATTTAGTAATGTTAGATTGTAAGGGAAGTAAATGAAACACATTTATAATGAAGATGTGATAAGATTAAGGGATGATAAGGAAGGGGTTGAAAATATAAACAAGGGGTGGTGTAGAAGTCATTAGTTGGTTATGTCTTAATAGGCCAAGGGAGGGATAATGGCTGTACGAACTTCTTTTGAATGCATAGTTTAGGTTTAATAGTTCGAATGCCTATCGCCTTAGCTGTGTGCAGTAAACGAATACAAAGTCTATTGGAAAGATTCGGTGGGATACGATGAATTACTTTGAAGGCTCTCGTTTTCTCCCCTACATGACCACTATCAATTTAATGTGACAAAATTGAGCTACGGATTGTTTTTGTCTGTCCTTTGCCAAACGATTATGATGGGAAATGATCACTAACACGTTGGCTAAGCTGTCTAGTAGTACGCCCAACATAACTGTTACCGCAGGTGCAGTTGAATTCATAAATGCACATAGATGTGGCAAAACTATCAAGCTTATCCTTCGTTTGCGTCCCAATCATTCGTCGACTAGAGAATGACAAACATAGATGTGCTGCTTTAAAATGTTCTTCGTATACTCCTAGAAAGTCTTTGGAGTAAAATCTAGCTTGATAAGTCACCATTAAATTGTAACTTAATAAATAGAGGTTTCTTACGTGCAGTCAGAGTCTCAGGTTTTTTCTCTGATGTTTTCATATGTTTCTTTATGAAACTACCCGGAAAGCCCATCTCCGTCAAGGAAGAATCGTGAATATATTCAAATTCCTTTTGTAAGAGGTCATCCGTACATATCTTTCTTCCTCTGCTCGCAAGACATTTAACAACAACATTCCTTTTATATTTAATCCAATCTTGCCATTTAGTGTCGCTGTTATTTATTTTCTATTAATCAGTTTTGATCACTTTCAACTAAATGTACTTACTTAATTCACGTCGTGACTACTCCCTTGTTTTTCTTCTTTGTTGTGAAAACAAAACAAAACAACAACATACTATTTTGTGTTTATCCTGTATTAGTACTTTGTTTTGTTGTTGTTGTTTTTTTCTTCTTCTTTATAACCTTGGATTGTGTTCCGAGAAAGAAGGAATATTTAAAGAAAGCTTTCTTTGTCTCCATTTGAAATTGTTTATCGCCATCATCATCGTCATCCTCATCATTATCTAAGTTACTGTTCCATTCTTGTTTACTTCATATGTGTGTTTTATTATTTTTTTGCTCTGTTTATGCATTTTACCAAGGAGTATGATATTTATCACAGTCGTCTTTCTTTCATTTTGCCTTTCTCTGTGTTCCGCTTCCAGTCTCTCTCTCTCTCTCGATCTCTCTGTCTCTTTGTGTCCCTCCATCCTTCTTCTATTACCTAATGTGGCGCGTAATTGTATCATGTGTCTGTCGTGTGATCCGTCCTCTTTTCTTCTTATTTCTGATCATATGATAGATTTTTGTAGAAACTTTTTTTATATATGGTAATTATTATTGTTGAACAGACTAGTAATATAACTAACATTCTTTTTGATTTATGTACTCTTAATTTTTGTTTTAAAGTTTTATCCGTTGTTATTATTTTACATAGTGTTCGTGTTGTGTTTTGTTTTTTTCTATTATCTCCAACTTTGCCAACGATATTTTGCCAATTCAGACGAAAACAGTTACATTAGTTGAGTTTCTTTCCTATTTTATTCACGAGTAATTCAGCCTTATATTCATATGTAGTGAGAGTGTGTCATTGATAAAAGAATTTGTGATTTTAACTCGATAACGACGAGTATTTGTCCTGACGGCCGATACAGTGGTGGATCTTACTGGTCATAAACTCTCACTAGAACTCCAGGCAATTTCGTCCTGTAGCCCACCCACTTACTAGCGAGCATCAGATTAACTTTCAAGAGTTAGTTTGTAAAGATTTCCTTTTCTTCAAGTTTGATCACGGTAGAAGTTAGAATTCTTGGGCTGTTGAATTCGGTCCCAGTGGATAAGTGGTCGACAAGCTTGCCTTGTAACCAGATGGCCCTGATTCCTAACCCTGTTAGGTGGGTACTGCTGAAGACTCCCGAACTTTGGCAAGCGAATTTAGGATTCTGATCAACAGAGTTAAACAGGTTATCATCAATGTCATTATAATCCTCTTCTTTATTATGCCCAAAATGAATGATTTCAATATATATGTTTCGTCCTAGTTTGGGAGTGACTCATCAGTAGCATACATCCATGACTACTCCACAAAGCAGCTGTTCAGTATACTTCCCCTAATTTTCAATAGTTCGCTTTCTAGTGTTATTCTGTGATTAAAGTTGAGATCAATCAAACCCCTGAAAAAGCAACACTAAAAAATATCAATTTAATTTTTAGGGTAGTCTAAATACCTTTATGGTTAGAATGTTTTTAACTGTAATTAAATTGATATACATATTGAAGGACATTTCGATATTCAGTAGCTATTTTCTTCAATACAGTGTACTTTAATGTCCCATTATTACTGGCTATTGGGTATTATTTGAATATTGTGATATGTGTAGTTGTGTATCTCAAATGGCCAACTGAATTAATCGGTTTATAAAATTATTTGTTATAAATGGTCATTTTTATTCTTATGAGCATTGAAATACCAGTTCCATTGGTATTGAAGTAATGAAAAAAATTTTACTCTCATAAGCACATTGTATTGCAATTCCAATTTGATTATAACTAAAATCTATTGAAATTTACCTGTGGTTTTGTGGTACATTCTTCATGGTTATTATTATTTTCTTATTCCTGTGAGTTCCCGGTGGAAAATAAGTCGACAAACTTGAGCTTTGAAGTTTCAATAGCGATGGTGCTTATTTTTTTGTGGGGTGCTCACGCTCAGCCTCCCCTCTTCACCGGCCTTACCGCCGCCTAGGCGAGGTTTCGGATTGAGCCTGCCGGGAATCGGATCGCAGACCATGTGCTTAGTTGGTGAATATTCTACCTCTGAACCATTGTCGCATTCTTTATGATAACAAAATACAACTAGGGATAAAAAATAACAGATCAGAGCGAATTTACTAAGTATTAAATAAGTAGATTTCTAACCAACCTACCTTAAGATGCTTTAGGTGTTTTAAGTTTTGTTTTTAACGGGTTAACACACATATTCACACACACACACACAAATCATCAGAGTTCGTGGTTCAGTTACAATAGCTGGATAAATCTCAAAATATTCTCTCAAAATAATTTTAACATTTATTCTGTTTAAGTATTTTTCTCTTCACAACGTATTTCCAAACATATGAGCGTTTTTGATCTATGTTTGCTTTCGGCACTAACAGATTAAGTAAGGTACTTGAGCACCTGATGTTTGGTAAGGTTGATAAAGTGTAACTTATTAACAGCACATCTAGCACCTAATAGCTGAGTGATGTTTCTTATTGTTTATATGTGTAGTTGAAAAGTGAAGGATTTTTTCTAAACAGAACTTCATTTTTCAATGGCATTTAACCATTTTACACTCTGATTTTCTCAGCCATTATAAGATTACTTAAGAAAAATAGAAGTGAGACAAAACAGTTCAGTGAAGAGATTCCTTCTTAGTGAATTCGTTGAAATCCAAATAGCTCAGTGGTAACATATGTGACTTCAGCATGAGTTGTTGCAGGTTCACTTCTCCTAGGTGTGGGCATTGATTCCTTCGATGTTGCGAATACGATCAATCAGCACGAAAACTAGCTCTAGGGCTTCGTGATGATTTTCTTCAACCATCTAACATCAGCTAGGCATAACTGCTCCTGTGGAGCCAGTAACATAGGCCGTACAGTTAGGCGTGTTTCTCGTCGAATTTCCGTACATCACCCTGCGTGATTAAGCAAAGGACAAACAAAATCTATTCGCAGCGCTATTATGTCTCACCTTGTGGAGACAGAACACAAGATTGACGTTAACCATCCTTTCAGAGTCATTTACCGCATACCTACGAATCTCAATTTTGCCTTAAGAGTTCAACTACTAAATATTGCTGAGGCTGTTGGGATCCATATTAATAAGCCTAATTTATGCATCTAAAAGAAGTTAGTTCAGTCATTATCATTACCTTGGCCATCCAGGTTTGAATAATCCGGAATTTTTGTTGAATTTCCCTAATTTTAGTTGATATTCTATTCACCATTATATCTTTGTTATTATTATAATTTAAGCATCTTTAATGAACTGTAATAGCATTGATCATACTTTACGAATCGATATTATTTAAAAAACACTAATATTATTATTAACTACCAGTCTAGAATATTCTGTGTATATAAACATATACATAATTGTACAGCCGGAAGAGGAATTTATCGAAAAGAATATTCTTCGCTCGATTATTTTGTGTTTTATTTAAGGAATGAAATCATCGAAAAGGATCTCTTCACTGAACTTCTGTTTCTTCTTACTTCTATGTCTAGACGAGTATTTTTCGCTAACTGACGTAAATTGCAATCGAATTGCAGTTTGATTTATACTTTCTTGTATTTGGATAGTCAAGGAATATTTGAACCTCTATGTGACTTTCTCTAGGATCGAGATTCCATAGATTGCATTGAGGTTGTAACTCTTAACTTACATTGCTAACAATAAGCTACTTGTCAGAAAAACTACAGCTTGTCTAGGTATAACGTTTTTATAAATTAAAATATTCAATGATAGATAGATAGATAGACATCAGACTAAATAAAACAGGCTGAAGTTGTCGTATGTCACATCTACACATCAACTAGAAAAGGAAAGCAGACAAAGAAATGAAAATATATTCCAATATGAAGGGAATATAGCATTTTAAGTTTCTACAGAAGGCAAAAATCAAGGAAATAAAAAGGTGCATATAATACTACTACCATTAAAATGACGGTGTGAATGTAAAGTATTAATAGACAACAAAATACTGTGATTCCATTGGTAGTATGCTCGACAACCACGTGGGAGGTCTAGAATTCATTCCCAATCGATGCATTCCTAAACCTTGCGTAATTTATTAGCTTATAGGCCGCAGAACGCCTGAAAAATACGGAAGGTTGAGCGTGTGGCTAGCAACTTCAGCCATGTGTTCCATTCGGAACGTAATGGAATCGAAAAAGAACAAGTATATTTCAGCAGGATAAATATAACTATATATTTAGCTTTCTTTCACAGGGGCTTCAAGCTGTGAAGTTTCACTGGTGTTGTTTTTTCAGGTTAGAGTTGCTAGCCTCATGTCCAACTTTTCCTCTTTTCCAGGCTTCCTACCGATTAGTAAAGTAGGTGAGATATAAGAGTGTGTCGGAAAGGAATCGAATCACGGACCACCTGTGTGGTTGACGAACACTCTACTATTGAACCACTGGCGTCATACCGGAGCTCTTAGAATGTAAACAGTCGATAAATTTACCTCTTTGTTTTTTCTATCTTTCCAGTCCAATTGATGTGAAAAGTTCATGCAGTTTGACCTCAGAATTGTCAAGTACAACATCTAAATCACCTGAGGCTTCTGTACATTCAGACAGGCCTTTAACTGAAGCACAGGAAAGCAATCTGTTGTATTCGTTAACAGTTAATTCTAAACATGTGTTACCGCCTGTATCAATCAAGACTGGATCATTTACAGGTATGCTGTTTCTATTTACTTGTTTTAATGTTCATTGCTTCTGCACCACTGCATAACACTATAAAAGTGATTGATATATGTATATTTTAATGAACAGACTTCACCCTAATATTGTGATCCCTAATGCCTATCTCTTCACTACTCGAAATGTCCAACACCATGGCCATGTGCATGAACTACATTTCTCAGTTTTTTATTTCATTGGCACTTTTTTCTAGACTTCGCCTACGTGAAATCATGCGTCTGTTAAACAAAAATGCTAGTGTCTTCTGAAGAATACTTTTGCAAAGCATTCAGATATACTTATTCACGAGTATGGCTCGAGACTAGTTTACATGAGTTAATCAATTCAATTAATTGAATGTGGCAATCTTGCAGACAATGATGCACTATTCACTGTAAAATTTCTTCTTAAACAGGAGAAAAATAGTCTAACTTTTATTTCACCAACCAACGACATATGTGGTACTGCAAGCAACAAACTGAATCCACACGAATAATAAAATATATTCTTAGTAATTCAATTCACCATTTGCAAAGTAAACAGCTCGAGACGACAAGTCACTACAGTTAGATCACAATATGTTAACCTGTTGGTAGTATAAATGAAAATTACAAAAAGCAAAAAAAATGTTTGCCGATACATACTACTGATTGACTGATATGAGTAGTTGGGAACCATTTATGTTGAATAGTAGTGTAGTGTTTGCTAGACAAATCGAAGTTATCTAATCACTGGATTCCCACTTGGGACTGAGCTTGAATTGATTCAACCCTCTGAACTGAGTCGAACTGGATACGCCGATGATGTTCCTGGCCGCAAGTGAGTAAAATGGCTGTCCAGTGTTCAGGTCGCTTCGATGTGGTTAGCAATTACTACTGTTTGACGTGAACTGTTTCCCACCACTCGTATCAATCGATCAGTAGTATGTGGTATTTTCTCAGTAATTTTATTTCATTCTTAAACACAAATTTTGAAAATGAATATTCTAATAAGGTTGGGAGTTTTTGGTTTTACTAAAATAATTTATGCAGAAATGTTTGTTGGTTTTAAATTAAATTTTATTTTCCATTACTAAGTGTTATGAAGTGTATCTCTTGAAGCCTGCACTTGTCAGTCTGCTTAAGTCCCAAATAGAGTATTTGAAGGTTGTCATTGTGTCTAAATTTACATATGAACAGCATTATGGTTTAGGGTTATTATAATTCCTTCGGTCACTTATGTTAAAATTCATTCTTTGCATTCCGAGTGGCACATCGAGTTTCAGTGGCATATTTTTACTGGTCTTGATTCTCTATCATCATTTTCACCTGGCTTTACGACTGCTCACAAGCTTTCATTTTTCTTTTTTTATGATCTTCCTCATGTCACCCTTAGGCGTTCAACCCGTTGCTCCCCTTTCGTGTCCCATTCAATATGCCACAGTCAGTGTTTGACGTCATCTGACGATTCCCTCAATGTATGACCAATACAACTCCATTTCCTTCTGCATATTTGTTGGGCTATAGGTTTTCTGGCTTGTTTACTGGTAGATCACTTAGGTTATTCCTAATTTTCTTACAACTTCATGGTACATCTTACTCTGAATGAGATAAACGGCTAGTTATGTGGAATTGTTTCGCACATATGGTATTAGTTTCTGATAAAATGAATCACATCTAGAAGATGTCCTGAGGTGCACATCATTTAGGTACCTCCTAAATTTCAATGTATAGTTATTTCAGCTTGCTCGAAAAGTTTACTTGCAGCATTTGTTTCAATCAGCATTTTTACCATAGTTTTTGTAAACTCCAAATTGAAGCAAAAGTAAAAAAAAAGTCTATATAATTTAATTGGGCACTAACTAGTGTCATGTGTATTCTAGTCATCTGCTTGGAGCAGACTAAATTTAAACAGTCGAGTTCGCTGCGTGGTCACCATGGTAGGTGGCTCTCCATCATGTTGCACTCAGGTCAGTCGCAATCTTGAATAGCTCAGTAGTAAGCCTTTGACTGCAGCACTGGGTGAAATGCGTTCGAACCTCATATGGGACATGACTTCCTTCAAGATTGCAGGTAGGCCTTGCTGATCAGTGTCAGCAGGCACGAAACCTAGTTCGAAGGCTTCCTCTTAATCGCCTCTAACCGACGAATGACAATTAAGGTATACATAAATTACTTTATTGTTGAAAACAATGCAAGAATGACCTGTACTCTCTGTTTTTGTTACTTTAGAGATGAATTTTAATGTTAAGACAATGTAAGACCATGATTGATACAATACGTTTCATTTTTAGAATTTGACTATTCAGTGCCAACTGAAAATATTCAACAACCTACAGAAAATTCATATGAAACTGTGATACCTAAACGGTGCAATAGGAGTGAGGAAAAATCTTTAGAAGATGAAAACATTATGCATGAGCTGAAATCAAAGAATTGTACAACGGTAAGATATGTATATGTCTGCGTTAAAAAGGCGTATATTTTAGTTGTTTCATGTTATGGTAATTAAGATTCCTGGATAGTTTTATATCATTTTTATTTCCATTATAGAAATCTGTAACTATATTGGAATCTAAATTAATGTCTATGATAGATGAAGATTGAGAGGCAGTCATTTTAGTTTTGTCATTTTATGTTGACAACTGTCTGTTTTACTGATTATAGAGTAATAGGAACAACAGTTAGTGGAAATTAGACCGCCGATCCTTCACTAATTGATTGCTGATGTATACAACAATCACCAGCCAGTATCAGAGGCTAGTAACTGTTCTTTTATCCGACTTGGTGGACTTCAGGTAACTTCCTGAATAGAGCCAGTAGCTAGATTGCATCAGATCAATTTTTAGGCGTTGGTTTGCAAGGATTAGATTAGTTAAAGGTTTTCGATCACTAGCTGACAACAGTTAGAGAATCACTGAGAAACCAGGGAGTAATGGACAGCTGTTTCGTTCTAGTTCGAGACTTTTCGACAGCACGCACTCACCGTGGCTTGAACCTCAGGTCTCCCAGTTACAAGGCGACCTTGTGGACAATTCAGCCACTGGGACCCGACCCAATGACCCTCGTATTCGAGTTTCTGATAACTTGCCATTGAGTATGTGTTTACCTGTCTAGATGTTTTTGTGCGATGAAATATACATCATACAAACACGAAGGAGTTTATCTACCTGTGCAGATGAGTATTTATCGAGTTGATGACAAGATAATTTTTTGAGTTATATAAATAAACTCATGCTTACTGTATCGATTAGCGATGAATTTGTAAATTTTCTTCCTGTTATACAACTGAAAACAGTTCACTAAAATACAACTTTATAAATCATATAAAGTTAATCAATTTAGTGGTTATAAATATTCATACTACAGATGATGCAAATTTTATGGAGTAAACTGCCCTCCAAGTCTGATTGAGTCATAATAAAGTCATTTAAAATAATCCTAGAGTGTTTAGAAAATTAAAAGAAGATTCTTCTGAATGTTTTGTTGTGTAATTCACAATTTCTTCAGCAATAGCCACTATGATTAAATCCTGTTTGGATTTTCTAAACAAATTGGGATTATACTTGTGATCATTATTATGTACGTCACTGGTTCAGAGGTAGAATACCCACTAGCCATTCCCGTGGTTCGGAGTTCGATTCCCAGCCGAAGCACTGCTAAATCTCGCCTAACTGGTAATAAACTGGGGGATAGCGATCCCAGTAATTGAAAACGTCACTGCCTCTACTGAATCTTCAAAGCCTTAAGGCTTGAAGACCTGTGCTCCACTCGGAACACAAACGAATATTAAAGAAGATGTAAGTGTTTCATCACATTGTTGAAAAATAAATTTCTTTGACTTCTTACTACCCTATTACAATGACTCTCTATGACAAAAACTGAGTCCTGGGTCACTAAGTGGTTGCATTCCTACTTCTCTAACAGAAAGCAGTACACCGTATACAAAGGTAAATCCTTCTCTGTTGTGCCCACTGAAGCTGGTGTTCCCCAAGATACTGTACTCTCCCCACTTCTCTTTTCTTTCTTTCTACATGACATTAATTTTGTTAAATATGCTGACGACTTGACTGTATCTTTGCCTGTCAAATTTCAAAGTGACTGCTCAAAACTAAATGGCTCTTTATCAGAAATCAGCCAATGGTCCAAGAAAAACGGTCTAACCTTAAATCCCTCTAAATGTCAAACAGTAAATTTCACCTTTAGGCATAAATCTGACCTAAACAAACTGGTTAGCACTCAGGAGGTGTGCAACATAGATGGCACTGAAATAGAAACCAAGTCAGAAATTAAATACCTTGGTGTCATTCTATCTGCTGATCTTCCCTGGTCGTCTCATATCTAAGAAAATATTCTGTCTTACCTTCTACATCAAGAAGTTAAGACATTCTGGTATAACCCAACCCTTACTCCTACAATTCGTTAATTCTCGCATCCTGCCTATTATTCCCTATTGTTCCCCCTTAGTTTTTCCAGGGCTACTGAAGAAAGACTATACCTTATTACGCAGGATGTTAAAAGTTGTCAGCAGGGTAAGCAACGTGCCACTTAACCAGCTTGTTAATATTCTGGTCGACAGGCTCTTGGACTCATGTGAAAAATGGGCCAAATCCATTCTATCTAACTCACACCACCCTCTTCATTCACAACTCTCCCCTTGTATCTCATCGGGCAAAACCAGAAGCCTATATAGAAAACTATATGCTCGCACCAGCAAGTACAAAAACTCAACCATACCCTACTTAGCTCGTGTTCTGTGTGATAAAGAAAGCATTAGGCGTGACACCTATAATTCATTAAATAGTCATTAGTACAACTAGATCTCATCTTTCCAACCCACTTCATCAATAGGTACAACATTTCCTTTCTTTCTGTTCCTTTTCTCTCTCTTCTTTTTCCGTTATGTGCTGCTTTGTCTCTTTCTCTCGCTTACGCCAGTTAATAAGACAGCTCCCACTTTTCTAACACCTTCAAACACTGTTTCAGCTTTACCTTTGCTACTGAACATGCCAATGTATTGTTGTAATAATGAACTGTGGTTTCCTCAATTTATGTAGAATTCTATTTTATTGATAATGTACTAACTGGATGCAATACTGTAGTAAAAATGCTGAGAATTCCATTCTGTATCACAAGTACTGTTTTGGAATAAAGCAAATTATTATTATTATTATTATTATTATTATTATTATTATAGCTGCTTCAGTCTTATTCACTGTGTTCTACTATTATACTAAATTACGCCTTATTACTATTGTATATCTAACAGAATACTACCTCTGCGATGAACACCACAGTTCAACAACTTTCTTTAACGGAAGGGACGAAAGAAACAGAAGAAGAAGAAGAGGAGGGCGAGGAACACGCAATGCTTGAAAATCAGTCTAAATCATTTACCAATGACAATCATGATTATGATCGACAGACGACCCCTCAAAAAATACGACCACCTCCATTAAAACTACAGTCGTCTAGTTTATTTGATTCTGAAAATGTTAATCATACTATTAACAATAAATACACTGAATCAATTAATGTAAAGTCTACACATCGTACACCACTTTCAGCTGATGCAGCTAATCGTTGTTGTAAGCGTAAATTTGATGAAAATACAGAGAAGTAAGTTTCCCTGCATTTTTGATGCAAATTTTTTGCTGTCACTTTTTTTTAAACACTTGCAAAGAATATATAAACAAGATAATGCTACTATTTATAAAACTGTATGAATTAGCAGTGGGTTTAATTTATGTTATTCAACAGGTTATGTTGAACCTAAAAGTCAGCAAATACAGGTTGGCTGAGTCTAGAGTTAAGTAAATGTATAGTAATTATTATTTTATTTTATTCCTGTACGTTCCCAGTGGAATATAGGGCCTCAAGCTAGAGCTTTGAAGTTTCGGTAGCAGCGGTGTTTAATTTTTACGGTACGGGGTTGTAAACCAGTCTCATGCCCAACCTTTCCTCCCTACCAGTCTTACTGTCTGTTTGTCTGTTTTCGACATAGAACTTTGCACACATGTGTAGCAGTTCAAGTCGCCACACTCCATGTAGCACACAGAGCAAGACAAGAAAGTAGGAGAAATGCATATTAGAGACAGTAAACAGAGGTGTGAGACAAAGGTATAGTAATAACGAAGAGCAAAACAGTTTAATTGGAAATCATAAGTCACAAGCATCTGCGCCATCCATTGAGAATGATTTTGAGCCATGTCACCAATTGTTTCCAACCATTGGTTTTTACCGTCCCGAGGACCCCAACCAGGAAGCCGGTCTACACCTTCCTACGTGGCCTAGACTAACTGTTTTGGATTTCATTGACTGATGCCATGTTTTGGTTTGACCGCTGCTAGCTCTTTTCCAGCCTGGCCCTATATCAGCTAACATTGCCCGTCGAGGAAGGCGATGACTAAGCATACGTAGCACATGTCCTAACCGTCTCAGTCGATGTAATTTCACAGCCTCATCGATTGATTTCCCCTCCTTACCAGTCTTACTACTAGCTTAGAGAGGTAAAGGAGTGAGTCGGCCGGGGATCGAACCCTAAACCATCTGCGTGGTTGGTGAGAATTCTACCGCTGTGCCACCAACGTACCAATGTATAGTAAGAGTTCATAAAAGAAGGGAATTATGGAAGGAAGTTATAATCGCAGCTAGTGTACTATAGTTAAAGTGAGTTCAGAGCGTGTTTGGCTTTCACGAATAGGTGATACCTCGAATTGATATCTTTATCTATCTATGTATGGTTAACCGGTGTGATTTGATGATCCATGTTTACTTTTTTGTCGTTGTTGTTGTTTAATTATCACAGTATCTTAACACGAATCAACTTTCGACGTCGTTTTTCATATTTACCAAAATTTAAACCAAATTCTACCCATGAATTATTGTCACCAGTTTCTCCTAGTCAATTTCCTCCCATGAAGACTACACAAATTAACTCTCAAACAGAAAGTAAGTAGTGTATGCAGTTTACATAAATATATATACCTTTATAAAACTGTTTTTTAATGTTTTAGTAATTCATGTTTCAAATTGACTGGATTGAATGTTTTTCAAGAATTTTTAAAGTTGTTTTAATTGAGGTTAGGATAAATAACGAGGAACTCTGTCACTGCAGAGAACCAGCCAAAAATCTATTATTATTGTTACTATTACTGTCCCCTTGGGTTCAGAGGGGAACAAAGGGCTTCAAAAGCACATTTCCACCTTGTCCTATGGTTTGTGGTTCTCTTTAGCTGGTCCTACGACTGCCCGTAGTTTCCCGTCTCCTCCATGTCATCCTTGGATACAAGCCCAACTCGTCGTTTCTCATCCGCGTTCCATGCAAGCCATGGCATGGTGCGCGATGTCATCCAACAGTCTTCTGAGTGTGTATCTGATCCATCTCTATTTTTTCGGAATATTTGTTGAGCGATGGGTTCTTCATCGGTTTGTTTCCAGAATTTCTTGTTGTTAATACCCTCGAGCTATTTGATCTTCACTATAGTAGCTCTTGATAAAATTCTTCAGTGAGCTGTTGGAAATGCTCTTCTTGACGCTCATGTCAAGTTTCTGACCCATGTAGAAGAAATGACCTAACAACCTACTGCCCAACAAATATTAAGAAGGTAATGAAGATGAATTACGCTAAGAAGACCCTTAACTATCTATGATTACCGGTTGAATTTCCTTCTTACTTTTATCTGATATTCAGTTTAGTATTGGATTTTTTTATGATTATTATCATGGGCGAGGGTGTAAGTTATTTCAAATCAAACATGCCACTCTTTTATCTCAGCACGCTTGTATATTTAGAGTGGAGGAGGTGGTCACTCACGACTCGAATTCTCTCAGGTAGTTGTAGCCGGAGGAATACCGTAATTATCATCACATCATATGTTACGTTTGGCTGTTTCAAAGGTGTTATATCACATTTTCTTACACAGCTGGAATATCTGTTGTAGTCTTTGTCATAAAATGCGCGAAAATACCTCACGATGACTTTTGCCTTCATCCGTACTGAGACGGAAACGCTCGGGGGGGATGTTTCATTTGCAATAACAACTTATATTCTCGCCTGTATACATATAACTATACAGCCAGATGAAGAGATTATCGAAAAGAATATTCTTTACTCATTCTTCTTCCATTGTATCTTCTAGATGTCTAAATGGAAACTTTCACTATATTTCTTTTCTTTTTACTATGACTTTATTTACATGTATATATTAGATGAATCAACTGGCCAACCAGTGAATACAGATACTAATCAACAACAAATCTACATACTTACCTCACCAACTTCTCATCTCAGTGACTCTGAAAATATTCATCAATGTTTATCACCACAGAAATCGGTGAGTAGATTGTTGAAAGAGTTTGTTTATTTTTGAAATTTTTTTCACTCAATCACTATTCTTAGTTATATGATATCATTTCTTCTGTTTTTTTTGTGTGCTCATGTTTGCTGTTATGTTTTAGGTAAAGATAAGTTTTGGCTCAATTAGGATTTCATAAACAAGTAGTGAAATCCGTATATATATTCAAGAGTAGGTTAATTGTGATAAATTTACTAATCAGTCGAGGTGAAGCGTATGTTGTTTGAATGTTTAAACAAGCCATGGGGACCGCATAAATGCATTCATTCTTAGATTGGACATGTGATACGATAATAAATTCTGTACGGAAGCACAACTGTAGATTCCTGATGCAACTAAACATTGCATAAGTATAATTTAGTGGATGGTAACAAGCAGTGTGGAATCCTGGATGCGAACTGCGTCCTGTTTAGGACTAGTTAGTTAGGCACAACTGTACTACCCGGTGAATGTGTTGGTAATCCCACTGAGGCTGGAATCCAGCACTCACAGTTTCAAACACCGAATACTTATCCACTGGGTCATGAGTGTCACCTCTTATAAGATAAATACCATCCATAATTGAAGTTCTTTTGTATTCCCTATTGACTGATTTATATTAGTCCGAAGTGCTTGGTCTCCGCTGATAATTCGGCTCCCTGGTACTTATGCTTTGAAGATGTCTGATGATCAACATGATGTTATCGACGATAAACCAAATGAAACCATGTTAGAAATCGAAATTTCAATAGAGACCAAGCATTTCTGTCCGACATAGATCAGTAAACGGGAAATACAAAGTAACTTCAACAAATAATATATATTGTGTGGCACTGTATGCCATTGGTTCATTGATATGAGTAGCTAGACACTGTTTACATCAGCCGGCAGTGCTTGCTAGCCACATCGAAGTGGTCTAAATATCGGACTATCGTTTCTCTTATTTGGGTCCAGTCTTATTAGTGGTGCATTTGGTTTAACTGAGCTCAAATGGTCGAAACAATTTAGACCACCCAAATTCTGGCTAGCTACTTGGCCGACGTGGTGTCATGCTTCTAGACCTGCCTTCTTGATTGTCATTTATGGCATCAATCAGGTCACATATTGTAAAAGTGAAAATTTAGCGTAACAATTTATGTGAATAATAACAAAGTCTGTGGATAACTGTTCTTTTTCAGGGAACAATGATCATGATATCCACCATATATCCCCACTAAAAGTATGACTGACTAAATGTTCCGTAAATGTACTGACATATGTGACGATTGAGTTTAATTCCTATGAGAGCCTTTATTGATGTACACTATGAAGATTACGTGTATTGATATTCAACAGAGAAACTACCAATATTCGACTGCTGATGAATATCGTTAGCGAAACCATTCGTGGTATTTGGCACATGCTTTGGCCATTTCATACGTTATATGTGATGCTTTGAGACCAATTTACATAAATACTTCAACATTTTTCCATTGCTTGACTTCCAAGTGGAACATAGAACTTCAAGCTCCAGAGTTTCAATAGTGATGGTGTTGTTTTCTTACGGGGTGAGCAGGCTAGCCTACCATTCAACCTCTTCTCTTTTAAGGGCTAGTAAATTAGGTGAGGAGGAATCAAACTCTGACCACTGATGCATAAAGATTTAGATTGTTATTACTATTTTTCCTCCGAGTGGAACATATGGCTTCATTGACACATCTCCATTTCGCCCTATTCACTGTAGTCTCTTTCAGCTGGCTCAACTATTGCCTATAAGCTTTCACTTCCACCTTATATGATCTCCTCCATGTCACTCTCAAAGCTACGCCGAACCCACTGTTTCTAATTTGGATTCCATTCGATTTCATTCAGCAGTCTCCCCAAAGTGTGTTCGATCCATCTGAATTTACTTCAGCATATTTATTGGACAATAGGTTCGTGGTTGGTTCGTTCCCAGATTACTTTGTCGCCAAACGTTTCTGTCTGGTCATCTGATCTTCAGTAAGGAGCTAACGAAGGCACCTGTTGATAAAGTCAGAAGCCTTTTGGAAATACTTTTGGTGTCGTGTACACTATCTCTGAACCAATATAAAAGAACCAACTTAACATTAATACTGAAAATCCGAATCTTGTTCCTTGTGTTGAGTGCAGAAGATTTTCAAACCGCCTTCCCAATCCTGACTGTCTTTGACATCTTCACCTGTAATGTTGTGGTGAGAGCTGGCTGCTAACCGAATTGGTAGACAGTAACTTACGTCAATGTTTACGTCCCCAATATTGGTCATGAGAAAAGAACAAGAACAAAGACTGACTGAACAACCAATCACAGCAGACTTTGCGTAGGCGGATACAATTTGCAGATAGATGATCTGACATTCAAGAAACAGCCACAAAGAGATGAAAGATTAACGTTCAGCGAGGACCCACGAATCAGAAGACTGTCTTTGTTTGCTTACAATAATCTATAATAATGTACATGAAATTCATTAAAATAAAGGTTTTTGTATTTCCCAATGAGTGAAAAACAAAACTATATTGTTTTTACTGACGTTTCGCTATTTAATGCTAATAGCTTTATCAAAGTATTATACTATGCATGAAAATCTATAAATATCTGTTGATTTCTTAAATAAACGATCTGTTGCCTGGCCCTTCTCTTCACTTGTTACAATGTTACCTGTAGTTGAAATAATGCTGCCTAGTTAAGTAATTGAAGTGACATCCATCGAATTTCCCTCATCGATAGCGATTGGTGTTTGTTGTTGGTTGGTTTTCTTCATCACTTCTGTCTTCTCTAATGTTCACTTGAAGCTCTGGCTTCTCTGCCTACCTACCTCCTATGCCGACATGTTGGTTATCGCCTGTAAATCTTCAGGTTAATGTGATAGTAGACGTTTTATATTACAGGAGAAGATAATGAAATACATTAATTTGCACTGACTTTACTTTTACTGTGATTCCTTGTTCGTTATTTACAGGATAGTAATAATAGTAATAACAATAGTAATAATAAATGTATTCAATACGAAGATAATATGTTCTTTGGTAAAAACTTCCCAAATCCTAATGAAATGAAATGGATCAATTGTAATAGTTCAAGTTCACATCTATTAACAACTACTTCACGTCTTTTAAAAAATCATCCAATTGCACCAAAATCGAATCAGTCAAATAAAGTGTCAGTGATACCTTCAAATATCTTTGATGTAAACACAACCAGTTCTAGATCAATATTACATATGCGTCGTAAACTTGTACTAGATTTATTCCAGGAATATGGTTTATTTCCATCAAGTAAGTTGGCTTTACTTCTAGAATTTAATCTATTGTTTGATTGATCATATTTTTATTGATGCAATCAATAGTCGGTGATAATTGAAGGGGAAATGAAAATTTGCATTGCTACAAGATTCAAACTAGCATAGTCTGAATTTCCCATTTGGTGCTCTACCAGCTAAGCTAAAACACCCAACTGGTAACCACGTTGTAAGGTATTGACTATACTATTGATTAACTACACTGCATCAGCCTTTCTAAGCGTAATATGCATAATTAATCAATTAATCAATACACTGCACCTCTATTATAAGTATTGATAACAAAGCAAACATAAAAAAGACTCAGTTACTTAGGAACATGCTCTGGTGAGCAGTATATTTCAAGGAACAAAGAGTTAGGCTAATTCAACGGAATTGTTATCTGACTAGTATGGCTGAACTATAGACTTTGAGGAAGGAACTCAAAATGGTGTCTGAGTGTCATCAGGTGTGTACCAGCTAAAAACAAAACTTAATACACCTAAATGCATATGCAGTCAGGCTAGACATTCATTTAGTTTAATTTAAAGTTGGGTGAAGTTAAACTTTCGACAAATTACATGCGTGAACTCACCAGTGACTTTGAAGAGTTCAGTAAGGGTAACACACTTAGACCAGGTCAGTAACACACTATATTTATGAATGAAGTGTAAGGATATTAAATAGGATAGTTTTAGTTCAGCTTAGGGGAAGAATTAGTTTAAGTTAAGGCTAAGGACAAGTTAGGGTTATGTTAACCTAATTAGGGAGATATTTAGGCTGGCTAAGAGTAAACTAGGGTTATGTTAGACAGATTGGGGTTGGGATTGAGTTAGGGGACCAAATTGTTTTTCCAGCAATATGAATCTTTACAAGGTCAATGGTGCATTCGCGCCTCTCAGGTGTATAAAGTGTAACTTTGACCTAAATTGATTTAGTTTAATCTGTTTATTTCATAATTTTATGTTACTAAAGTTTTTCATGGTGTAGAGGATTTTTTATAGGGTTAGATAGTTTTCATACTTTCAGAGATAATGGATGTCCACCGTTAGTCAAGATCCAAAAATGCTCATTCTACTGAGACCAGAGATAAATTAAAACAATAAAATACGAGATCAAGATCAGAACCGTAGAGCTATGACGATTGCTTAACTAGCTAGGGACGAACGACCAGTTTACCAAATGGCATGGATGTTTGACCACATACCAATAGGTTGTTAATGAGTTGACTTAAAGATTGACGGTCAGCATGCAGTTTTTGAGTGAAGAAGGCTGTAGTCTGTCATTTTTGGAGAATTATTTACAGCTACTGTTAATTCCTTTGCTTTCTTTTGTGTTCAACTTCATGCTACTTGCCATTAGTAAGTAGTATGAACTATATTCTACTTCTTAAACACGACTTTGTTGAGGTTTAACTCAATGTATTTACGCTCTATTCGATATATAGTAATTATTTTCTTATAGTCGAACATTATCTGTTGTATATGCTTTATTAATGTACTCGTTACTGCTTAACATTGTTTATTCGTATCCCTTTACTCCGTGTCTGGGAATTGCGCGCTGTTTAAATAACGCGCGGATCGCCTTTGACACAGCTTTGCTGTTTTTACTTATTGACGCACATTGACTGTGCTTTTTTGGTGACATTCAGCCATAGGCACTTCACAATTGAGTGCCGTAATTTAGGCAAATCCTGTGTTTTTTGATTTTACACGTCACTCAACGTGTGGTTTTAATAATCATCCCGTTACCATCCTGAATTTCTTTCGGAATAAATTCAGAGCTATACTACTTATGCTTTTTGCTTTCCATTCAGTTTGAATATATATATATATATTCACATATTTATATTCATGTTTTCCTTTAGTTCCAGCAATTATTCGTTTTCAACAATCCTATTCCTACTACTTTCCAAATCGTCAATCTTTACAATTAAAAATACGTGAAGTTCGTCGACGAATAATGCAGGTGAATTCAACATCGAATTTAAAACCTACAGAAACATATTTCAATCAGCCAGTGGATAAGAAAACACTTGAAAATGAGGATGATGATGATGTTGATGTAAAAGTAAATAGTGTAAGAGTTTCTTTCAGAACTTTAAAACATTCCACCTATTCATCAATGAAGTCAACAATCAATCGTCTCTCTGATTATACTAATAAATGCTATAATAAGAACAGTAATAACTCCACAGGTATAATATTATCATCCTCGAATCCATTGGTAGTATGATCAAGGTATATACACTGAGTTTTTGTTACTTGAAGTTATTCAGTTCTCCTCACTCCAACCTCCTGTCTTTGTCATCCATCCATCATCGTTCGTGACGTAACACCATAATATTCATTCATACCTTTGATTTAAGCACTAATCAGGGTAAATTTCTTTACTTGTGAAGTCTCATAAAGTTCCAGTGAAAAACATACTTTTTTGAAGTATTTATAGCTTTGTTATGCATCATTATATTCAAAATAGTCATTTTGTCCCCGTTCTATCTCTTCATACTGATATTGTGTTGTATGTATTACACTTTCATATGTGTGTTTCACACACACACACACACCTGTTTCTTAATATCATTGTCATATTCGAAATTTCTTTTTCCTCTATACTTTTTTCCCAATTTTTTCCTCTCAGTCAGATATTCTCTTTCATGTGATTCGTCTAGAACACACATCTTTCAATGCTTACGTCCAAAGTTTTGTGTGCAATAATGTTTGTCTTTTTTATTTAAAAAAATGTGCTTAATTTTCTATGTACTACTTATTTGACTGTTTATATATCTCTATGGAATTTTTGTTCCATACTACCTTTGAATTAATTATACATAATTATATCCAGAAATAATAAAACAAACTTCTCATAGTAGATTCGATTCTTAATGTCTGGAGAAACACGTTAGTTCATGATTTACCTAAATGAGCCCTTTTAATAGATAAAACAACTAGTTTTTTTAAAAGAATTTATAGGCCATTATTGGATCCCCTCGCACTGGTTGAATGGTTTACGGATGATAGGTCGTAGTAATCTAAAGTCCCTGTGATCGATCCATGATGGTGGTGTTATAAGTGTGTACTTCAGTGCAGTGCCAGTCATCAGAAAGTGATTTGAAACAGAAAGCAAAGCACACGTTAGCAGGGTGATAGTACAAGTTGCATGTAGTAGTAAGAATGAGGACTGAGGACAATGTTCACAACCGGTTTTATTACAGATGGGTGAGGGACGGAAAGAATTTTCAAATTGGTCACCCGTTGCGTCATCTTGGGACATTAATCCATGCACGCCGTGCAGTCGACCTGAAATTAGACAAGCATACAGTTTAAACATACAAAGACCACCTGACCTACGTTGCTTTACATATGAAGAGTTCAATATTAGAAAGAAACAGTCGTCCAATACTTCCTGGCATTCACTGGTTTTCTAACTGTTGTCAGTCCACTATCTTACTTGAAATTTATCAAGTTCCTGCAAACTAACTCTCAAAGACTGATCTTATATACTGAAATAATATTCATTTTCAGGAGGAGAAATATAGCTCGTCATTTTCATGGTATTTTTAGATAACACAAATTAGTGAAACATTACCTAGTTTTATTTATGGATATAAGTCTTCCCAATGATCTGGTTATTTAAACAAAGCAACAACTACAGATTTAGCAGAATAAAATGGTACCATATTTTATTTCGTCGCCTTCTCTTCAGCTGCTTACAGGGCAAAAACATTATTAAATGTATCTACAATAACAATTTAACATACTTACACAGAGTTCATTTTAAATAGAAATCAATCGGCCAATATACACATACACTAATAATATATATATATGCAATATTGAACACAATTCCGAGCAATAATAATCATACAAAATGAAAACTTTTCAGCATCTCGCATTAGGATGAAAAATATCCAGTTACCAGGGCAAAGAAAGACTGATAACTGCTTCTTTCTGAACGCACAAATCAGGTTTTAGGCGCTTGATGGAAAAGGCTTCAGCAAACTTAAGGGGAATTGAACTCTTTTGCTTATTGATAATTTTGAATGACTTTTCCACGTCCACCTCATGACCCGTGTCAAGAAGATGCCTGGCGATGGCCCTGGTAATTGGATATTTTTCATCCTAATGCGAGATACTGAAAAGTTTTCATTTTGTATATTTATTATTGCTCGGAATTGTGTTCAATATTGCATATATATATATTATTAGTGTATGTGTATATTGGCCGATTGATTTCTATTTAAAATGAACTCTGTGTAAGTATGTTAAATTGTTATTGTAGATACATTTAATAATGTTTTTGCCCTGTAAGCAGCTGAAGAGAAGGCGACGAAATAAAATATGGTACCATTTTATTCTGCTAAATCTGTAGTTGTTGCTTTGTTTAAATTCATTAAGGGGAACAAATGTATGAAAGATCTGGTTATTGCTAGGTTTAAGTTTAAAATAGGACGATTCAGTGGTTTAATGAGTAGAATGCTTTCCAGCCATGCCAAATATTCTTTATTCGATTCCCTGGAAATACTCCCCAACATCATGCCTAGCTCGTAATTTAAGGTACGTTGAGCGTTAATCTAGCTATCCCGCTACTGAAACTTAGGAAGCTTAGAGCTTGAGGAACTCAAGGAACGAATGAAAGTGGTTAGAATTGTTTTACTTTAGTAAATCCTAACTAGAATAGCAAAAGTCACTGCAATATATTTATACATATATTATAGCTTGATTCCACACGGAATTTTGGTACATCTATGGAATTTTCAGTATGTGATATCGGTAGGCCGAATATAGCAGGCCTACCATTGATATCAGATGTGCGTCGGCCGGTAATCGACCTCCGGACCATGTGCATGGTCAGCGAGAGTCCTAACCACTGTGCAACTTTACCAGCAATATTCGCCTTGATCTATGTAGTTTCGCATCATAGTATTCTGAAGCCTGTCTGTAGTTCGGCTTTAACCAATATGACTGGATTTGCATCGGTGACAGTGATCTTGTCCTAACTGTGGAAGCATATGAGGAGAAATATTCAAAAGTAAATCAGTATCACATACTCTGGTGATTTTACGTTCTCTGAACAATCTGATCACAGTAGAAGTAAAACACATAAGTTTCTAGGTTGTAATACTCGAAATTCCTTTTGTGAAACGAGTTATTATATATACAGTATGTGTTCCACCGACTTAAAAACACTACTAGTTTATTCCAAGGGGACTCCGATTGAATGACAAGCTTAAACTATAGGGAGTGCAAGAGCTTAAGAGCTCTTGCCTCAGAATGCGGGCTTGACTACTCTGAGTGTTTCAACAGACTCAAATAGAGAACCATTGTGGGAAAGATGGTTTAAGCTAAACCTTATTTTCTACTACAAGTTAACTAATCTTGCACTCCTCCAGGTCAATAACTAAATCTATCTCTGTAATCACTTACAACCTTAGAGATCATGAAAACCTAGTTGCTATAGAGCATTGTTAGACTAACATGCGATCCAACTTCATAAATAAGTTTTCATTAATTTGGAACAGACTACAACCAGTGTGCGTTACGTTAACACACTTCCAGTATTCATCTCCTCAGTCACCAGACTCCTCTCCTCCACCTGACTCCTATATCTTCTTTTTCAACAGAAATAGGTGTAATTGGTCTGATTAATGAGAGAGTAACAAAAAACTTCATTAATAAATATTAGTATTATGAAAATTTCTAGACAGAGGATAAATATTAGCTCATACATGTAATATAGAAGTTAGAATAACAGAACTAGTTAGTGTGTAATGCACCTTGAATGTTTGGACTTTTTTTAACGCATTCATGTACCATGGCGCTACGCCGTCTTTGTGTTTCGTGCTTGACTGATTGCAAGAGGCTCGCTCCCCCCCCCCAGCCTATTGACAGATAAGTGGTTACTACGTATTAGTTTTGGTTTTCCACTTGTCGTATAAATATAATTTATATCAGGGCACACCACACTGCATAAGCCTTCCACCTGAACTTCAATGATCTATACATTCAGGGTAGGTGGTTTACTGATCAGGGATAACCGAAGAAAGCAAGTTTAGTAGGTGCCGACGTTAAGGCCTATCTAGAGGTCAGCTCGGGCACTTACAAGTGTATCAATAGGCATCATAGTTTCTATACAAAGTGTATATACATACACCTATTTACATATCAATACTTAAGGACTGCTTGTGCTTCTTCTTGTCCTGCTGTCCTTTTTCCTCTTTTTTAAAACAATTTGATTCCCTGAATGATAGTAAAGAATGTAAATATTTAGCGAATTACAATAGCAATCTAAAGAGATCTGAAAACCACACTGGCCCCAAATCCTATAATGCTTCACAGAAAATACTATACATTCATCTGTGTTGCATCCATAATGACGATTTTGGAATATTACCTTTATACTAATGAAAGAAACCCAATCACTACTTGTACAGAACCAATAAATCTGGAAATTCTGGAAATAAAAAGATATGGTGATGATTTCATTTCAAATCCCACTGACTCATATGATTACAATTCGCAGCCCCTGTGTTCTTCTTTTGTCCTCTCGTATGGCTTAGTTTGCCATTATTCTCATGTGGACTGAAAAGTACCTGGCAGCAAGCGTACAATAGCATGCACAGAAAGGGTACATTTCTGGGAAAAGAATGGGGAAACCCCTAATATTTGCCTTACATTCTGCAGTTTACTGATAAATTGTCAGTAGTGTAAAGTTTTACTCAGAATTTTGTATTGTCCACCTTATTGGTGAAAGATTTCTTCCTGAAATAGTTTTGACTCGAAATTATATCGAAAATCAAACAAGTACAACACATAGCTTTCGATTCCTACCGCCACACATGGAAGCCAGACAAAGTTAGGCCTGACAAAGTCTAGCTGTCACCAAGCTTGGGCTCCTAAATACACTTCAGCATTTCTTCAAAAGTAGACTGGGCATCACACGAAAGCTTGTCAGCCATTTTGGTCACCTTAACGTCATCAGTGGTCAAACCAAAACTAACAAATGAGTCTCTGAATTCTCTGTCTTTTAAGGACATCTCCAACCGTCTGAATTCGTCCTCATTTGTCAAGTGGAATCCCAAATGGCGATTGTCTCTTGCGGATTTACAGTTTCAAAAGGTGAAAAAGTTTCAAGTTTTGATGTTTATCAACGATTCGTCTGTCATTTTGGCATGCTTTTCGTTAGACTCCACCAAAAACGATATTGTACTTAGTGATACGCTATTCTTTTCACGT